TGATGTCGTGAACATCTGATTATGTTTTATCTTGTGTGATGTTGTGAACATCTGATTATGTTTTATCTTGTGTGATGTTGTGAACATCTGATTATGTTTTATCTTGTGTGATGTTGTGAACATCTGATTATGTTTTATCTTGTGTGATGTTGTGAACATCTGATTATGTTTTATCTTGTGTGATGTCGTGAACATCTGATTATGTTTTATCTTGTGTGATGTCGTGAACATCTGATTATGTTTTATCTTGTGTGATGTCGTGAACATCTGATTATGTTTTATCTTGTGTGATGTTGTGAACATCTGATTTTATGTTGTACTAATCTTACAATGGATTATCTGCCTTAGTTACAACTTTTCTTTGCTTGTCTGCTGGTTGAAATTAAGGCTGGTCAGGGCTGCCCTCTTGATAAAATTTTTGACCAAAGTAACACTGACAGGTCAATTAAGTCAACCAATCGTTGGTTTGGCTACAGCCTCAGAATTCCCTCGTGTTTACAATAGCACCAGTGTAAGTTGAAAACTTATATGAAAACAAGTTCAAAATTAATTTCAGTACCATTTCTAATAACTTTCTGAATTTTTCATTGTGATTTCCTTTTTATCCTTTTTTAAACAAAATTGAGAGTATGTACAAATAAGTAACTTATTTGTATCTTGTCAACTTAACATAGAAATAAAGTTCAAAATGTGGTGTTATGTCAGTCTTGTATAATTGTGTCTGTATTCCCAGATCACATGATCACCTGTATATGAAGACATGTATATTAAGATACCTGTTTTATAAGACACCTGTGTATTAAGACAACTGTATATTAAGACCTGTCTAATAAGACACCTGTATATTAAGACATGTCTGATAAGACACATGTGTATTAAGACACATGTATATTAAGACATGTCTAATAAGACACATGTGTATTAAGACAACTGTATATCAAGATACCTGTTTTATAAGATACCTGTATATTAAGACATCTGTCTAATAAGACACTTATTGGCTGGTCCCTTTGGGTGTCCCATTAGACAGGTTTAACTGTAATTTACAACCCCATCCATTCTTTCTATTGATTCCTATTAACAGTAACAGAGCTTTGATATAGATTGTAACTCTGAAAATCTGCAAACACTAGAAGATGGTAAAGTCCATATGGTCATAAATTCTCCACACAGCCACAAAAGTTGTTAGTGCTGCCACAAATCATGATCAGCTTTGTCTGAGCTGCTCAAGGACAGGAAATTAAAACCTAGATTTTGTTCTATTGGCTTCAACAATACAAACAAAAAAAAACACAAGGCATAAAATGGCCACGTGAATTATCTTCACATGTTCAGATGAACTCGAAAAAGTTTTGAATGATCAGAAACAATGATTAACCACGAAAACTAAAATAAGAGATGTTTTGTATTTCTTAACAATGGTAAAATTTTCATAATTTCATCACAGCAGCATCAAGTATTAGAAAAACGCAATTCTTCTTAAAATTTCACATATAAATATAGGGGTTTTGAATTAGAACAAGCAAGTAAACCAGAAATATTAATCATCCATCAAGGCTAGCTCTGCCTAAACACCTTTTCAAAACCTTCTTACAGATCTACTAACTTTAAATTTCCCTCTAAGAATTTTACATCACCAGATGAAATATGACTAGTTTTCAAGACCAGATGAAATATACAACTTAAGAATATATAAAACACACAGACACCCAAAATTTCTAGAATTAAACTTTTTTTAAGTGAGAATTTTTTGAAAAGATGGATGACAGAAAATATTGTAAAGTTAAAAAAAGAAATAAAAGTTGCTACAGGTTTCAGAATATGTGTCAAAAAAATATGCATTTTTGCTCTATTTTTCTCAATTTGTTTGTGAATAACAAGTATTCTTGGTTATTTTTGAGGCAATCTTTGCCACCAAGAAATGTCTTTTCTCAATGAAATGCAGTAGAATGATACTGGGAAAATCAGAAAAATAATGTCAAAATGCTAATTTTCAATTTAATTTGATAGATGAAAAATCGCCATAACAACTGAAAAATGTAAATTTTGAAAAACTACTTAAATCCTTTATTTGGCAAAGTTCTCATCTTAAATTTTTCAAGACTTCATGCTTTGATAAAACAAATATTTGTGTATTGTTTTCATAATAAAAAAGAAGGGGTCGTTATGCTATTTTTTTTTTTGTAATTTTCACTCAAATGTCATTTTTTTCAAAAGTCAAGAAACAAATTATATTTTTGGATCCTAGAATTAATTAAAAATGATCCATCAAGTCAGCATTCATGTATTTAAAATCTGTGATTTATGATGATAACTCATGAATAGTGTTGAATTCTGCGCAATGGAAACATGTTAAAAAATTGTTGACACTAAAACCCTAATCACTACATGAAACATAGTCCACAGGACATAAAATCTTCAGAAGGTTCGAAGCATTCCACCTTTTGAAAACAGATACAACTGTTGGTAACAAAGTATACGAAAATGTAAAAGTCCATCATGTTTGAATTTATTTTATATTGAATTATGCCCTACTTCCGGTCAAACTTGAGTTTCAGTTATCCCTAAATTTCCTGTCTGTTGATGCTATACCAAAATATAAGTCCTAGTGTTCATGAGACACTAAACAAGCCACATCTACACATAATCAGTCTGACGTTTGGGTTAATAAGCTTGACTTCTTCAATATTTAAACCTAAAGTATAACAGAATCTTTCACTAACAAGGCCATTGAATTATTTCTACTCTGTATTAATTACCAGCGACTAACGAGCATTTCACTGTCGCTACATCAACATTGACCAACTGTAAAAGGGTAATTATCTTGACCTGGCACTTATAATTGACTCTAAACAACATTAACATCATTTTTTACCCAAACAAACAATGTTATTGACTAATTCTACAATGATTAAACATCTTAATTTACTCTCATTAGGTACAAATGTGTCAGTTAAATAAATGTTGAGATCAACACACATATATCTATATGACAAAAGAAATATACAAGGGGCATGGTGTATAACGCAATTATTTACCCTATAGAACTGATGTGAAAGGGTAAGTTGTCATCAATAATTGATCATGGGTCGTATTTTTTGTTTTCCGTAGGTACTAAATTATCGTGAGCTAGATCCCTACATTTATTTATATTCGTTAATTACTGTGACTTGCACTTAAAATTGACAAAAAACAATAAACTATTACACCTAATATTCCAAGTGATATTTAATCCTTTCATCTTGTTGCTTACAATGTGAATTTCACCCTACATACAGAATTAAAAAAAAAAAAATTAAAAAAATTGTAATGATCAAAGGATATCTATCAGAGTCAGCATCCTGCATAATATATGGCAGATTTAAGAATACAATTGTAATTTTTTACATACACTTTGATATAGGTGCAGCCATAGATTTGTATATCATGAGAAATGTGACAACATGCTAAACACTGAGATAAAACTCAGTGGGCGAGGTATTGATAATTAATTCTATTATACTGTACAGTAGGGAATATACTACCACTTCACTTCAAGGTATAAACATTGGAATTGATCAGAAATTATCACAAATTTATAAATAATTCATCACAGCTTCAAATATGATCTGAATTATTATCAATTATTAATAGGTTTAAATTTAATTGTGTCAACAGGTATTCAATAGGTATCATCCCTCACTTTTATCAATACAGATTTGCTGATGTCTAAAGTTCTATTGAACTGTCTGGTACAGATGCTGGCATCAATAGCAATCTGGTCATATAAGATCAGAAATCACCTGTGATGAATTTTAACGAGGTTTTCCTAGCGATTGAGTGCAGATTGTTTACCTTAATATGAGTGTATAATGAGTAATATCAAAATTGATCTCTATAGTAATGAAAACATGTTAACACCAGCTGTTACTCTTTATAAACAGGTTTTTTGGGTTTTTTTTTTCCTGAAGCATGACAAAAATTAATTTCAGGTTTTAAGATATTTTCATGACCATTATGGAATAGAAAAGCCCAGCTGTGATACAATTTAAGCTAGGAATGATACACTATTTTTCACACGTTTTATATTCCTTCAGGGTACATGAAACACTTCAGGCTGACTATTTTGAAATGATTGATTTGATACATAAAACCGATTTTATTTCCATTTGCATATTTCAAATAAAACTTTATTATAAAAATTTTTTGTAAAATGAACATGGGTTGTCAGTTTCCATATAATAATGTTTTCCTTTCAGAAAAACTGATTGATTTATATCCAAATTCTCATCACGTGTAATTTCCTATTTCAGAATGCATGTTAACACAATGACAGGAATGTGCTATATTGCCACTACAAATTATTGCTCAGAAATTTCTGCATAATTTGTATCAAGGAAATCATTATGATGAAACCACAACTCCAATCCTAAACAGTATATATAGAACACACATCCAGAACATCAGATTACACAAAATTGTCCAGCTGACGGCTTACAATAGCTGAATAATAGATTCTAGTGGTTACAGAAAATGGATTCTACCAGGTAAACAACAGCTTATACCCTCTCAGCGACGGATTCTACCAGCTAAACGATGGATTCCACCAAGTAAACAACAGATTCCACCAGGTAAACAACAGATTCTACCGATGGAATAATTGTCACTACCAGTTAAACAACAGCTTATACCAGGTAACAAACAGATTTTACCAACTAAATAACAGATTATACTGGCTAAACAACAGATTTTACCAGATTTTTCCTGCTAAACAACAGATTTTACCAGCTATACACCAGATTTTACCGGCTAAACAGATTCTTCAAACTAAAAAATAGATTACACTGGCTCACCAACCAATAGTACCAACTAAATTCCAGACATAATCATGTGAACAACAGAGTCCCCTGGCTAAACAATGGATTCTGTTGGCTACGATTGTGTAACTGCAATTACAAACTACAGGTTCTGGAGACAATAGGTCATTAGTTTGTAAACAGCGAACCCTCTCGCATGCCATGATGGATGTAACATCACAAATTTATATCTCACTAGAAGTAATCATTGGAGTGGCAGCAGTGGCAGGAAACAGCCTCGTTTTGGTGGCCATTAAGCGGACACCAAGTCTTCAAACTGTCACAAACTGCTTCATAGCCAGTCTTGCTTTGGCTGATTTACTTGTAGGAATAATGGTGGCACCCTTAGCGGCTCTCAGTTACCAGGGACTCCCCCATGATTTCATGGGATGTGTTTTCATAAACTCCTTGGTTGTCATGTTTACACAGATATCTATTTTCAACCTTGTAGCTGTTGCCGTCGAGAGATTTATAGCCATTAACTCCCCATTTTTCTACCAACGTCACATGACTGTGCATGTCGCACTCTACATTGTTGTAGCAACATGGGTGGCAGCCATTTTGATCGGACTGACCCCAGTATTTGGGTGGAATCTTGGCCCGACGCCCGGTAATAACTGTGCCTTTATGTTAGTTATAGACATGGGGTACATGGTGTATTTCAATTTCTTTGGATTTGTGTTACTGCCATTGTTCATCATGTTTGTACTGTATTCTTATATATTCTACATTGTCAGGAAACACATGGCCAAAATCGCTGCCCTTGAAATCGTACAGGAGTCTGAAGGTCGCCAAAAGCAGCGACAATTCAGGAAAGAGGTTAAAGCAGCTAAATCGCTCGCTATTGTGATCGGGGTTTTTGTGATCTGTTGGTTGCCAATCCACATCCTGAACTCAATAAATTTACTCTGTAAAGAATGCTCTTATCCCTCGGAGCTTCTCTTGGCGGCCATCTTGCTTAGTCATGCCAACTCAACTGTAAACCCTTTTTTATATGCAATAGGCAACGACAAATATCAGATGGCATTTAGAAAGATGTGCTGTCAAACGTGTCTGCCGATTTCTAACACAAACACATTCAGCGATGAGTATTATACTGGAAATCCTCATGTGACCAAGTCATCAAATACTTGTCATCACAATGGAGTATCTAAGATCATGAAGAATACACAATCACCATCAGCAAGTACTCCCAATGACATCTTCTACATAAAGTGAGCGTTCCTCCAAACTGATCCAATGTCATTCAATTTTAAGTCCCAATTTTTCATATTAAATAATTTAAAAACAGAGAATGTCTGTTATAATGGGCATATCATTTCAATATACATTTTATATATATGACAGATATTCCTTTAATCAACAAATTTCAGATACTCCCTTGATGGAGAAAATGTCACACACCTATCTTCATAACCTCGGAACAAACATTTTATAAATAAACAGGGTATATCACTAGTGTTGATACACTAATCTTTGTACATATATATATGTCAGAATCTGCAATATCATGGTTGCTAGCCATAAAAAATTCTTTAACAGATAATATATTTGTACAGTAGTAGTAAGTGAAATCCAGTCATTGTTGCCATGTTTTATAAGTTCATTAGAAAAGAGCATTGCTACCGTCTGTATAATTACAGTCATATAAGAATGTGTCTGCAGGGAAGAAAATAATGATGGACTAGTGACATACACGTTTAATGTACACCATTAAGCCCCTGAAGTTATAAGGCATATCGTGAAATCATCTATTTTTGTGGGGCTAAAATTTCATGGCTTTCTAAAACCTAATTATTTCATAGACAGATGATTTTGTCAATAAATAGGACTCATGATATATTTTTGCAACATAAAAATCTAAACAATACTTAAGGAGTTCTCAACACTCAAATTCCTAGATAGAAAGTATCCTCTAAATAAACAAAATTCACTATCTAAATATCTTTTGCAGGGAAGAATATTGCGATGGACCAGAGAAGTATTTTACAATACCATGTAAACCATTTACCATGTGTTAAATGTAATCACTAATTCAAAATTTAAATCAATATAATTACAAAAACTGCAAAATCATATACCAGGTATATTCTTGGGACTTAAATTTCATGGATTTGAAAAAAAGTAATTGTTTACTGACCTATTCTATATTTCAAATAAGTAACAAAACTGAAGTGATTTTCCTTTGGACTGAACGACAATGAAAGACATATCACTGTATATAAAGTAGGATTGACATATTAAACCCACTATTGAAATGAATGTTGTATATTGAGTCTCGTTCAATGTTAAAATACTCATCATTACCGTCCAGAGATTTATAAAAAAATAATGTGTTTTTTTTTTCTTAATTTTACTCAAACAATTGTTTACAAATCCATGACTACTTGCCATCAGTTTTTGATGATAGTTGTGTACATGTCCTATTCATCACTGAAAGTTATTTTTTTATGTACATAAAGTGAAATTTATAAAATTTGTGTAAATAATCTAAATATACAATAATTTAAAATCATACATAAATCATATTTCATATTCATATATTTTTGTTTTATATGATAAATGCTTGACAAGTTTGAAGGCAACCAAATGTAACAATTTCACCGTGAAGGATATTTACAGAGAGAAAAAAATCAAATATATACGATGTACTTATCATCTGATAAAGCAAAGCTCTTAATGATAAAGTCGTAACATAGATATGTTTTAAGGATCATAATGATTCTACATTTGGATTGCTCCAGTCTACCCAGCTGTAGAACTATGTACAACATATTGAAAATTGATACCACATATACATGACATTCTTGTGAAAAATGTTTGTATTGCATTTTATGACAATAGCCATGAAAAGTATAGGAATTTCTGTCACTTTGATCTGAAGAACGATCCAAAGGTTTGAGACTAATCACGACTGATTTATATCTACCGATAAATGTCACTGACTAGATTGCTCTTCTAATGATTCGGTATAATGTTTGTGTCTACCCAGCTGAGATTAATAGTACTGGTAAATATGATGTCATAATTTGTATGAAATCCTCTTTGAAAGTGATATAAAATTGCTAACACAATAGAAATAAAATTTGATGTATTAACTGCAGTTTGTTATTTTATTTTAAATATCTTTTTACGTTGCTTTGTAGCTGTATGACATTGTGACTTAACAATGAAGACAAAAGATATGAAATTTTAATACATAACAACATGGAAGACTGAGATATGACATGAGAAAATCATGTTTTTCCAGCAAATTTTCTCTAAAAAGATAATTTTTATATTCATTTCTTCATGAATATTCACACAAAATAAAAACTTGTTTACAATAAATTGTTTTGTATGCGTGTAATCCTATGCCATATGTACTTTTAAACATAAATTTTATCACTTGAATTCTCCTCCAATCGGGCTAGTCTGTCCTAATGCAGGGATCAACGACATCATTACCATGACCATTTTTTTTTATTCTGATGTCAACAGAGTATTTTGATCTGATTGACAAAGCCCTGTATTTTACTTATTTATAAATCACCTATCAACTTTCCTCACTTTATCGGCTCGTAACACAGAAAAGTACTCGCCCATTCCTAGCAACTCAAAAGTCACTAAAACACCTTTTATAAAAACACATTAGAGGCTAATGGTCGCTTACAAACCTTTTTAGGCTAATCACGTTACCGATATGAAAAAGATCACAATTATGGAAACCTATGATCTCCGGAAATTTCCTCAGATATACTTTATTTACAAGACCTAAATATCCCCGACTGAGAGGCACAACTTCCTGTTTCTAAACATCGTACAAAACTTTCTACTATATGTAACGGTAGTGCTTAAAGGCTCAGGTGAATTCAGAGCTTTCAACAGCTCTTAGAGTCCATACCTAAGATGTTGAAAACATTTCTGGTTTTGCTTTTGGTTTATAATGATACATGATACAATGTACTTTGAAGAAGCGTCAAGCTGATCTATCATCCATGAAAAGAGAAAAGCAATCTGCATCACCAATATTTATTATTCTATTACATGTATTTCTTCAAAAAAAAAACCATATAAAACAGGGTTTTACCATTTCTTATAGGTTTCAACAACTTGCTAAATTATCAACTAATTTTGTTTTAAACTTTCTTTATATGTTTCCTTTGAACATGATAAAATCCCATCTTATAACAATACATACATCTGGTAATATTCAGATTATTTCTAATATAATATTAAGATTTGAGCCATCCAAATGTACTGTTAGCTTACCAACAGTAGTCCAGGGCTACTTTTTGTGGCATAGTACAATTCTAACTTAAAATCCAGGGGTTTTAAACTTTTACCGAAGGCATGCTTCATTCTCTGGTTATGACAGCTTTCTGTCCAAAGAATTCACAGAAACGTGAAGGGCATTACAATTTAAGAACATGTTTTTGCACTACACTTGAATGTACTTCAAAATCATATATTTTTTGTGGGGCTCAATTTTTGTGGTTGTTTCAAAAAATCACTCTTTCGTAGATACATTCTACTTTAATTTGCAACTGAAACAAACCCCCCTAAAAAGGAAAAAATCAAGGAAGATTTATTTAACGAAGGTTAGTGCAGTTGTATTTTAGCACAAATTTTGGATGCAGAAATGTTAAAACTTCCAAATTATGTCAGAAATTACAAACATCTCATCAAATATTTTCTTTATCAGACAAGAATGGCAGTATTATAAAAACGATATATGATCTAGAAATCTCATTTGTAAGTACACTCTGGTCAGCACTTTATTTCCTAAATAATCCTTATTGGTTAATGATTGTATATGATCACAGAATTCCTACATTATCAATATCTTATTCCGGAAAACCATACTTATATTGCCAATTTACTAACTTTTCATTCTTTTTTTTCTGTCCATAATAAAAACTTAACAACATACTTCAACCATGCTATGGCTTTTAATGACAAGCACTATTGATACCAACTCAACATCAAAAATCCTATTTAGAGCCTTTAACAGGAAGAACATTTAACTGATTACTGCTATGATTGATGAATGTATCGCATGTGCGTGATGCTGTTAATAGATCGGTACTTAATTATGAAAAAAAAAAATAATCAAAACATAAAATTGTTTATATTTTTATTACTTTATATCGGTAACATTTAAAACCAACTGGGATTTCTCCACAAACATAATCTGCAAATAGTTTAATGTGATTAGAGCAGACTGATCAAAGTAAAATACTGTATCATCATTAATTTTTGTGAGGGATTTATTTTCACTAAATTTGAAGGTACTCTAAATCCAAGAATTCACATGTCCATGAAAGAATGAACTGAGAAATATTCACATGAATGATAGTACAATCTAATGGATTTTGATAGTAAGATTTGTACAAAGTGCCAATGAAAATATTTACTTTTGAAAATTCATAAAAATTTCAGCTCCACCAAAATATATTATTTTAGAGTATAAAGCTCTAATGTTAAAACTCTGCTTTTCTGTCTTCTTTATTAACTAAGAACTTTTGAAATGTTCACTTACATGTATATTTCTAAACATTTTAGGAAATATATATATAGATACAAATATTTTGTATTTGATTGCTAATAAGCCCATGCCTGGTTGTAAGCCCACTAACGCAAATTGAAAATTTCATTGTCCTTGAATAACCTTGCTCCTACTTTTTGTCAAAGTGTTCTAGTTAAACTCCTGGGCTTATTACAGGATATATATCACAAATTTAATCATTAATATTGTAATAATGAAATCTAAAAACAAAGCTATCCATGCTTTTGACGACAGGAACCAGACCAGCTGTATCAGATAGCAATCAACCAATAGAATAACCCCGCTTTCTACTTCCTGTCAAAGGTGAGTAAATATTTACCATTTACAGCATCAAATGTATCAGCACATCAACAAAATAATCAATTCATTTTCTCCTACACATTGATGCATATGCAAACAAAAACATCCATAAACTTTTTTTATTCTGGTTTAGTAATTGATAGTTTGAGACCACCCAATATCACCGAGGTCCATATTTATATCACGTTGATCAAAGGCTAGAACCATCATATAGACTTACTGAAGTCCTGTTGTACCCTGGGGAGTCTCTTTATTTATGTGTTTTATAGTGGTATAATTATATTGTTTTATATATTCCTACCTATTGTTATTATAAAGTAACTTCATTCCCTTTAAAAACAGCTTGAAGTCGGCCCATTGAGACCTTGATTAAAAACAAAGAGATTTTAAATAATAATTACACATTGCAATTAATCTTGACAGTTATGAAATCGACAACAAAAGTATACTATTAGAAACCAATAAGTTAGAAAAAAAGTCATATATCTCTCTCCTGGATTATAGAGTCTAAAATAACAGCACAGTAAATGCTGGCATTTTTTACCTAAAGGAATCAAGTTTCCGATAGCAGTATCACTGTTTGGTTCCTCCTTTTGCGTTTTCCTGAGGGACACTTGGATAATACTTTACATTAGTAATGTAATATTTACAGTAAACACCAGATCTCTCACTGAGTTCATGTATGCTATCATTGATTTTTTCCGTATCTCTCACCAAATCGTAAAAACTTGACAACCAATACATTAGGGAAAATACCTGGGTATTAATAGGAAAAGGTATAGCATGTTATCACTTAGTCGTCATGACATTTGTAACATTGCCTATAACATAATGTGTTATCTGCAGTTTGTTACTGTATAGTTTCAGTTTTAAGTAATAACAAGAGGCCTAACGAGCCTGCATAGCACACCTGGTCAACAGTTGATTAAAACACTTTGTAAGACATGTTTTTTTATGTGGAAAAAACTTGACATTTGTTCTTTCCAGCATGCCAGTGACAAAACATCACAGTCTTTTGCCTCTTGTTTGTTCAGGAGTATGTCTGATGAATTGTGTAAAGTTTTAAACAGATCACATGATTCCTGTCACCTAAAAATCACATCAAGGTCATTTGTATGAAACTAGATCTTGACAGTCCATCATCTATAGGCATGTTTATGGACGGAGTATTCAGATGATATATCAAATAGTGACATATATGACCAGTGATCTGAAGCAGGACCGGCACAATCATTTCAATAACTTCCAAAGCTGTTCATCCCAGCACACATATCAGATGAAATATAATAACTTCCAAAGCTGTTCATCCCAGCACACATATCAGATGAAATATAATAACTTCCAAAGCTGTTCATCCCAGCACACATATCAGATGAAATATAATAACTTACAGTTTATTTATTATTTAGAGTGAAAAGATTTTTTAGATTTGAAGTGAAAAGTAGGGCAGACCATTAAATACTTTTCTAGTATCAGAATGTATAACACACCAGTTCTAGTATCAGAATGTGTAACACACCTGTCTAGTATCAGTATGTATAACACACCTGTTCTAGTATCAGTATGTATAACACACCTGTTCTAGTATCAGTATGTTTAACACACCTGTTCTAGTATCAGTATGTATAACACACCTGTTCTAGTATCAGTATGTTTAACACACCTGTTCTAGTATCAGTATGTATAACACACCTGTTCTAGTATCAGTATGTATAACACACCTGTTCTAGTATCAGTATGTATAACACACCTGTTCTAGTATCAGAATGTGTAACACACCTGTCTAGTATCAGTATGTATAACACACCTGTTCTAGTATCAGTATGTATAACACACCTGTTCTAGTATCAGTATGTATAACACACCTGTTCTAGTATCAGAATGTATAACACACCTGTTCTAGTATCAGTATGTATAACACACCTGTTCTAGTATCAGCATGTATAACACACCTGTTCTAGTATCAGTATGTATAACACACCTGTTCTAGTATCAGTATGTATAACACACCTGTTCTATTATCAGTATGCATAACACACCTGTTTTAGTATCAGTATGTATAACACACCTGTTCTAGTATCAGAATGTATAACACACCTGTTCTAGTATCAGTATGTATAACACACCTGTTCTAGTATCAGTATGTATAACACACCTGTTCTAGTATCAGTATGTATAACACACAACAAAACTGATTTTAGACTTATTGATGGAAAATAATTCAACTTTTTGTCTTTTGCTTTTTTGATACTAGATCACTTATGAGCTTCAATATTGATTTTGTTTTTGTTTTTTTTTTAAATACCATAGCAACAGTTGTGACAGTTACAGAATTTCCAGTACAATACAAAAACATCCGAGTGTATCCTTTACCTTATTAGCAGAGTTATTTGTTGCAGATCATCAATTTACAGGCACCTAATAATTAGAGCATGAATGCTAAATTTCCTTCTTAAAACTAAACCATCATTGTCAGAATGTTCAACAATTATTCAGCAATCATGCTGAAGTACATACCAAAGTATTTTAAAACACGAAAAAGAAAATATCTCGCTCTATCATCACAGCTGAAGAAAGATGTTTACTTTCTAACTCACATAGTATGTCTAGATATTTCTTCATTCGTCTTAACAGCTGAAAATTAAATATCACTCAACTCAAACTGAAAAGAAACTTCAAACCAAATCTGAGACAGAAATACTTCAGGATGGATGAATGGATGACACTTTGAAACTATACCATGTGATGGTTTATTGATAAAATACAGTTTATATGAAGTAGTTCTCTCACCAGCAATTAAAATGAAACTAGGTAAAGTATCTGAATAGTTGTCACACAGAGGTACTTTAAAATCATAACTTACATGGATGCCGACTTCTTTGGAGTTGAAATTGGCGTGTGTCCACTGTTCCGCGTGATATTTACGCTGGTATTTTGTCAACGTACCAGCACCACGGATAGCAACGTCATTTGTATGGAATGCTGCATCAATCACCAGTTTACCATCGTATACAAGGCAAGCGTCATTGATAGCTGTAACACAGAAAAACAATAACATATTTAACAGTAAAATCACTGTATACTATATGCGATAGAAGTTTTCAAATACTCCGCTTGTATATACATCTATATTTGAGTCTTGACAAATATTTCACACTTTGAATAGGAAGACCATAACAGAATATCATTGAAAATTTTCAGATATGCACTTATTCAAAGTCAGGATTTAAATAGCTCCAGAGACACATCTTGGAACTTTTCCTTCAGGTTGGTAATCTATGTGATATATGTTCTTATAACCAGTTCAAAAATTTAGTGAGACATTTTGACGACTACACTGTTGTCACCGTTATGAAAGAAATGATCATTGTGAAGCATATTTACACTTAGGTATATAGTGAGGTGAGAAGTTATGCTATTTTTCTGTATACAGGAATGCCAAACTATAGACATGCACAAAATTGCCGTGAAATGACAGAGACGACCATGTAATATTGACCCTGGGAAAGTAAACAAGTAGACTATATCTAATAAAGCTAAATAAAGTCATGAAATCAAACAAGTTACAAACAGTTGTAAATGCAACCCAAGAAAACATCTTAAACATTTCATACCACAAGTTTCTTCTTATTATTTACACAAAAAGAGGTAAATACTAGAAATAAAATCATTTTTTCTAAAAAAAAAACTAAACACTACAGACCACACATACCACACATACCACACCACACATATCACACATACCACACATACCACACCACACATATCACACATACCACACATACCACACATTACCAGAATTTTAAATCCAATTTAATATCTCATATTAACTACATGTATTTTTGCAACACCATGGAATCAACACGGCCATCAAATAAAACAAGTTTTCAGTACAACAAAGTATCACCTACTTACCTCTGAATGAGTCTGTGTCTACCGAGGCTTTGTAGTAAGCAAAGAATGCCTGCAAGAAGAATGAAATAATTTCCATTTATAAAAGTTGTTCTGAAGATGGACTTAATTTCGCTCATCAATTTTTTAAAAAAATATGTCTTTACAATTAACAGAAATGCCAAAGCTTTTCAAGATGGACTCAAAAAATTTAATTTACTGAAAAAAAAAATCATTTAAACAAAAAGAGGAATTTATTCCAACACTGCATTTCAGTTATTGATTTCTTTATTTTATGAACAATAACATTTTTTTAAAAAAATGCTAATTCTACAGTCAATGTTAGCACATACCCCACATTCAAGAATAAGAGGTTCTTTCTTGGAAGTAAAGCTCGCTGAGGTTATCTCCCCTATCTCACCACTACCATCATTCCACTGGGCAAGATAATACCCAGAATACACTTGGACACCAGCTTCTTTCATTGTTTTAAGGATTGTCTCATCAAGTGTGGGATTATTGAAGCAGGTTGTCTGTAAACCAAACACAAAATGTGGACATTTTCACATGAAAAGAAGAGCATCCCTGATCTTGGACAAATATACTAAATTGAAGACACACCTTTCTAAAGAAAAAAGTTTATCTGCCAAGATCAAAAATATTACTTGTTTCTGCTTTGTACTCCATCACCTGGATATACAACTCAAACTGATGAAAAGACCTACTTGTTGTGTAATCTGATATTATATCTAAAATCAGCAGAAAAAAATGCCACTCATTTAAGTCATTGTTAATTAATTTTCTCTAAATTGTTATGACATAGCCAATATCTATTATTTACAAGTTACTGTGAAGATGATAATATCTTTATCATAAACTGGTTGATATTCAAATAAGATTGAAAACTTTTTTAATTTAAGTATAATGAAACCAAAGAATAGACAGGAAGTTAAAGGTACACAACAAAAACATTTATCCAACCAGCACTGCTGCTTCACTTGTTTTCAAGTAACTTTTAGAATTTTCTCAATTAAAAAAAGCTGACTTAATCTATGCAGACTTTCTGGAAGCACATGTGGTTACCTGATAAGCAGCAGTAGGTTCCACTAGAGAGATCCTTTCTCCTGCGACGCCCATTGTAAGGAGGGACTGTACACAACAATACGCATCCAGAGTCCCGCCGTAAATAACAACCTTCCCTGAAAGATGAAGGGTTTCAATGAAACCTTATTCTTTAAAAAATAACAAATTTTAACATGTTTAATAAATTTACCCCACAAAAAAACATCTTCATATCTGATGTGTTAAACTGATTTTGCTTCATTTTTGTTAATCTCCACACTAACGGTGGACCATTTACATAGTGACATATTTGGCATATACTATTTTATTAAACCTTGAATTCATTGGTTATGAAAACAAACCACACATTTAAAAAAAAAAAACACATGAAAATTGGCGACAAACAATTATTTGATATCCCAGTATAGTATGTCATTTTTAGTAAGAAAACAAAGAAAGATAAGTAAAATTTTGAACCCAAAATCTGATACATTCTCATTTTCTTTTATCATAAAACATATCAATAAATATTACATATAATAACAAGATAAATTTATTTAAGAAATTAACTTCTGATATGTTTACAAAATGTTGAACCTACGACATGACTTGAGGAGGCTGTTTTCTATCCAGTACAGAGCTACTGCAGCATCATACTCATCATTAACCAGGAACAAATTCTTGGGTTGTGCCTTCAAATATCTCCTATCAGGGGAGTTGGGGAGATCTGCATTGGTAGCGCCTCCATCAATATCAGCCTCTGTGGGGGCAGGGATCTGATACTGTTCCCCCGTACACAGAATGAGATGGTCGTAAGGAACATTTGTACTGTTTTCAACAATCACATTTTTCTTCTTTCTGTCGATGGCTGTCATTTTCCCGTAGACGACATTGACCCAGGTTCGCAGAGAGGTCTTTGAGAACTCATTCTGATTGTAACAAAAGCTGTTTCCGAGCATCTGATCACGAACCTCATCAGGCGCCATTTCACCGGGGAGGCCGTGTGGCGAAATCAAGGTCAGGTTATGAAATCTCAGGTGAGGGCTATTCAGAAAAAAAATATATTATTTTGGCAGAAATAATGAAACTGACCATATTTTTCTAAGTCACTTTTACTTTTCAAAGCACCTAATTTTTGGAAAAGCTATAATAAGAACGACTCAAAAGTACCAATATTTACACTGTTTCTTGTCATCTTGTAAACCTTAAAAGTGTAATTTCTTCCCACAGATTTTTTTGCAGAATATTTCTGCTAAAACTCCTTTTCTATGACTCTTGCTGATTGCGTTATTTGTTTTACAAGTAATTTACCCAGAAAGCCAGGTCAACCAACTTCTTTTACAGGTTTGTTATATGTGAAGGTTTTATGTTACAATCTTTTTCAACTATACCAAATTAACTGATAATAAATTAACCTTTAAATTAAGTTTCCGATTCCAAAAAATCACAATAAAGCCCATATCGTTCTTTGATGAGTTGATTGAACAAGGTATACTTTACTTACCTATATGCCAGTGTCTCTAGGAATGCTATACCAACGTTAGAGGCTCCAACAACCACGATCCTGGCGTTAATTGTCACCTGGAAGACACCAAATCATAAACACTGACAAGAAAAACTCCAAACTAGATTTTTTTTAAAAATTTTAAAAATCGGTAATTTATTTTTTTCCCCCTCAGAATAATTTAAACCACGAACCAAAATTTATATTTTAAACTTCACAAAAGCCTCAGTTTTCCTGAGAGCAGACTTAGCTGATGTGTTTAACAATACAAGAAATACTAAACAGCCATGTTTAAATGTTTCTATGCTTGTCAGAGACATACACAGATCTTCAATTTCAACAATAAAACTTATTACTGTATTTATCAAACAATAAGCCCATGCCTGTTAGTGTCACTGCCTGGTAATAAGCCCATCCCTTGATTTTCAATTTGAGTTGGTCTCCTAGGCTTATTTAGGGTCATATATTCAGTAACCAACCTTCTGATGTAGACTGTTTCTACACTGTTCCATGAATCCAACAAAACATCACCAATATAAAACATATTTTAAACCATTAGTTCATTAGTCTTTATTTTCAACTGATTTTTTCATTTTACAGTTTGCAGAGTTTCATTAAAAACATTTATACACTATGTAACTTACTGTATAGATAGATGATGGTTTAAAGGGTCTGAGATCTGACATTCTTCATTACTATACCTTTGGCTCCATGACAAGTTTCCTGTTGATATGGTTAAGGGCGTATGGTTCTCTGTCTGCCAACACTCTCTCAGAGGGAGCGTTGATTCCCAATTTTTCTACGGGATAGATAATTTGTCGACGAGACCGTACTGGTACCATGTCATTCAAACAACAAACAAGTGAGTGTTTCTCTACAATCTACAACAGAATAGGCAAGAAAACCATCAAACAATATCATAGCTACAAAAATCAAACAACAAACAAGCGATTGTTTCTCTACAATCTACAACAAAATAGGCAAGAAAATAATGTTAGCCATCAAACAATATCATAGCTACAAAAATCTCTCTATAAATGACTTGGTACCAAGACTAAATAGATTTTTTCTTCTAGACAGATCCACATAAACAAACATGCCCTGTGTTAATGGATTTACCTGTTTGTCAGTATATGGAGGTACAGCGAGGTGTACAGACATGTCTTGTTTCTGTGTGAATGATTTACCTGTTTGTCAGTATATGGAGGTACAGCGAGGTGTACAGACATGTCTTGCCTCTGTGTTAATGATTTACCTGTTTGTCAGTATATGGAGGTACAGCGAGGTGTACAGACATGTCTTGTCTCTGTGTGAATGATTTACCTGTTTGTCAGTATATGGAGGATACAGCAGGAAGTACAGAAATGTCTTGTCTCTGTGTTAATGATTTATCTGTTTGTCAGTATATGGAGGTACAGTGAGGTGTACAGACATGTCTTGTCTCTGTGTTAATGATTTACCTGTTTGTCAGCATACGGAGGATACAGTGAGGTGTACAGACATGTCTTGTCTCTGTGTTAATGATTTACCTGTTTGTCAGTATATGGAGGATACAGCGAGGTGTACAGACATGTCTTGTCTCTGTGTTAATGATTTACCTGTTTGTCAGTATATGGAGGTACAGTGAGGTGTACACACGTCTTGTCTCTGTGTTAATGATTTACCTGTTTGTCAGTATATGGAGGACACAGCAGGAAGTACAGAAATGTCTTGTCTCTGTGTTAATGATTTACCTGTTTGTCAGTATATGGAGGTACAGTGAGGTGTACAGACATGTCTTGTCTCTGTGTTAATGATTTACCTGTTTGTCAGCATACGGAGGATACAGTGAGGTGTACAGACATGTCTTGTCTCTGTGTTAATGATTTACCTGTTTGTCAGTATATGGAGGATACAGCGAGGTGTACAGACATGTCTTGTCTCTGTGTTAATGATTTACCTGTTTGTCAGTATATGGAGGTACAGTGAGGTGTACACACGTCTTGTCTCTGTGTTAATGATTTACCTGTTTGTCAGTATATGGAGGTACAGTGAGGTGTACAGACATGTCTTGTCTCTGTGTTAATGATTTACCTGTTTGTCAGTATATGGAGGATACAGCGAGGTGTACAGACATGTCTTGTCTCTGTGTTAATGATTTACCTGTTTGTCAGTATATGGAGGATACAGTGAGGTGTACAGACATGTCTTGTCTCTGTGTTAATGATTTACCTGTTTGTCAGTATATTGAGGATACAGGGGGTAGTACAGACACGTCTTGTCTCTGTGTGAATGATTTACCTCTTTGTCAGTATATTGAGGATACAGGGGGTAGTACAGACACGTCTTGTGACCCTGTCTAAGGACTTCCTGTAAACAGAAAGAATAACTACATCAACTAAGATCTTTTTTTCCTAATAAACTTATAAATAATATGTAAAACAAAGTCAAACTATAGATTATTTCAGATATAAAAACAAATATAATTTGTGTACTTTTTTTATTAAAATAATGTTTGAAGTCAGCAGTGCCTAAATTACATGGATGTAGATATCTTTGTTTATTTGTTTTTACAGGACAAAGATCATACATTTGCAATGTCTTCCAACTTGGAAACACATCGTGTTGCTACTAGATCCTTAAAAAGAAGATGAAGATGGACAGACATTTATCATTTTATTCTTGTGTTCTTAGGGGAGTTTATTATGGTAAGAAATTATTGAGATGAAGAAGATTTTGTGATAATTCCTTGCAAATAAATATTATAATACACATGCTATATGTTATACAATATTGTATAAAAGTGCATTTATAGCAAACTTAGGTTACTTTTATGATAACAATTTATGATAATAAGCTTACAATAAGCCCAGGCTAAGGGTTTAAATCATGATGGATGGGCTTATCATCAGACAATGTTGGTTTTTCTTCTGAACAGCAGTAGATATGGGTGGTCTAATCATTTGCAGTTGTGCTGGATATGAATTCCATCAGATTTAGTTTCCGTTTCAAGCAAGGATGTCAAGCCCACAACTAGCAGTACTCACATCACACAAGTGTGGGATGGTTTCACAAGGATCTTAAACAACAGACAGAAAAAGAGCTTACCTTGATGAAGTGCTTGGAGAGATGACAAAAAATGGGATTAACTGCAAAGTGATGAAGATGGCCATGCTCCTCTCGCTTGTGATGGTTGAAGTATATGAAGTCTTCAATGTTGTAATGAGAACGTATGTACTCAATGTCCTGTCAAAGACATAACAGTTATTACAATGAAGGCCGTCAACTTTTACAAAAAAAGGAAAAGATCTGACAGGTGAATTAGTACCATTTGTGTCCCTTGAGAACGAATTTCTACGTCAGAATTGCCAGCATCTTGTTTGTGACATAGATTCAATTAATCTACTGGAAGCAATAGTTCAAATAAAACAAGATTTACAAATAAAAGAAATTTCAGGGGTTATTTTTATAAAATTGTCACAACTTTTAATATGAACAAATCACTAGAGATCCCTGGCTAACAATCCTTACACTCAACTGATCAAATGAAACAGATTTTCTCTCTAGTCAAGCAGCTAGTGTATAGCAGCTAGTATTTACCAGGGTTACGAGCAAAATTTTAAAATGCCAAATATGGCTCTTACTAAAATGCCAAAAGCAAACATATAGCTAAATAAGTGTGGAAGAAATGTTCACACCATGTAACTTCTGAAAATTATATTGAGGTGAACAGTGAGTTGGCATGGATATTCAAAGTGCAGCTTGTCAAGTTTTCAGAATTAAGTCATCCCCAAGGTGTCTTATAAAAATTTTGTGACGTGATGCTTTACAAACCTCTTCTTTTCTTATTATGGCTGTTCCAACAATCTGACCTTGACATTCAGCAACAAAAGCTTGAATTTCCATACCATCCTGTAGATAAGAAAACAAACAAAACCTGTTTACAGAAAACAGTATCATTATTTGAGAAGTTTGTGTGAATCGACAGAATTACCCCATAAAAAAAAAATAATCAAATTGGAAATTTTATACAATTGATCGATCTTGACAACATTTATAAAACAATTTAAAACTGTCTTATGATTCAAACCGACAGGTCCGAGATGCCTTTTTTATGTATTTATACATAATGTACAAACAAAACAATAAAAACCGCTTCATTTAAACAAAGAGAAAAAAGAAAGCTCATAAATGACATCAAACATTACAAAAACCTTTTCCCCGCAACAACAAAAGCTTCACACACCATGTTGGTTTAGTTGCTAATTTAAAATAATCCTTTTTAAACTTCATATTAATGGTGGGTTTGGTTTGACTTTTTAAAAAATATAATGAATTCAATATTATCACAACTTAAAAGAACACAAAATTAAAAAATAAATAAACAACAACAAATTTAATAAACATACATGTAGATACATGTGTGATGATCTTCTTGTAAATTTTGTTTTAACTGTCAATTCTATCACAGCATTTTTTTTATATATGTATTGAAAATTCACTGGTTGTTTTTATTAAAAATTTAAGAATTTCTCAAAAAAAAGCAGCTACACATTTTGATACTCCCAAATGTAAACCAAAATCCCATCTTCAATAAATGAAGTTTACGTTAGGTAACTGAATATGTACAATTCCTTGTTGGACTAATTATCATATTCACTTTATATCATAAGTAATATTAGAAAAAAAAAATCTACTAAGATATCAATTTGCCAATAACATATTTTACTTCTTTTTCAAAATAATAAGCACTTTACAACATATTTACAAAATATATCCAATATTTTCTGCAAAAATATAAAACTTTTTGCCTTTCATATTTAACTCATCTTTTTACAAAAGTTTTCTAAAATTTTTTAATTTGTCTGCAAAAACAAACTGATATGAATAAGTGGGATATTGTATTCATACCATGTTTTAAGTTTGTTGTTTTATTTCAAGAACAAAATATGTTTAAATCAAAACCATACGAAAAATTTGCATTCCACAGGGTATGCACTATTGACTAGAGTAGTTAATGAAATGTTATAGGTCGACATCAACCAATCAGCAAACTCGCGTACTTACTTTTCCCATGTCAGTTTGCAAGAACTAGGTTGTATAATAATGATTATGTAGGTTAAAGTTAAAAATAGATTCAATGGAGATTCTGAAGCCAATGGAATTATAGTCAAGCAAGGTTTTAATACTGAGTACAGAAGTTATATCACAAATAATTTTCTTATTTTCAAAAGACATTTTTTCCTTCAAAGTTCAAAAACTCTATCACTAACCATGACATAGCTGATATATAGAAAAGAATCCCAAAGCTGTTTCAACGAATGAAATTTCATTCCTTCTCGAGAACAATCCCCCAAAATATATTGAGATACATGTACCATCAAATCTATTTCATTGATTGTCTCCTCGATGATGTACTGTTTGCAATTCCAGAACAATGAATGCTGGTTTGAATGTCACATTTATTTATGTTCAAAAGAATTCAAGTAGAATTAAAAAGAAGAATATAACATGTACTATATTCTTGTGACATTTCATTGTGTAATCTGAGTGTGGATTACTAACAGTCAGAAACTACAAAATATGTATATAATATATAGCAAATATAACTAGAATATGTAGATATATAGATATATACACAGAATATGTAGATATATAGATATATACACAGAATATGTAGATATATAGATATATACACAGAATATGTAGATATATAGATATATACACAGAATATATAGATATATACACAGAATATGTAGATATATAGATAGATACACAGAATATGTAGATATATAGATATATACACAGAATATGATATAGATATATAGATATATACACAGAATATGTAGATATATAGATATATACACAGAATATATAGATATATACACAGAATATGATATATAGATATATAGATAGATATATACACAGAATATGTAGATATATAGATAGATACACAGAATATGTAGATATATAGATAGATACACAGAATATATAGATATATACACAGAATATGTAGATATATATATAGATAGATACACAGAATATGTAGATATATAGATAGATACACAGAATATGTAGATATATAGATAGATACACAGAATATGTAGATATATAGATAGATACACAGAATATGTAGATATATACACAGAATATGTAGATATATAGATAGATATATAGATATATAGATACACAGAATATGTAGATATATAGATAGATACACAGAATATGTAGATATATAGATAGATACACAGAATATGATATATAGATATATAGATATATACACAGAATATGTAGATATATAGATAGATACACAGAATATGTAGATATATAGATAGATACACAGAATATGTAGATATATAGATAGATACACAGAATATGTAGATATATACACAGAATATGTAGATATATAGATAGATACACAGAATATGTAGATATATAGATAGATACACAGAATATGTAGATATATAGATAGATACACAGATATATATAGATAGATATATACACAGAATATGTAGATATATAGATAGATACACAGAATATGTAGATATATAGATACATACACAGAATATGTAGATATATAGATAGATACACAGAATATGTAGATATATAGATAGATACACAGAATATGTAGATATATAGATAGATACACAGAATATGTAGATATATAGATAGATACACAGAATATGTAGATATATAGATAGATACACAGAATATATAGATATATACACAGAATATGTAGATATATAGATAGATACACAGAATATGTAGATATATAGATAGATACACAGAATATGTAGATATATAGATAGATACACAGAATATGTAGATATATAGATAGATACACAGAATATGTAGATATATACACAGAATATGTAGATATATAGATAGATACACAGAATATGTAGATATATAGATACATACACAGAATATGTAGATATATAGATATATACACAGAATATGTAGATATATAGATAGATACACAGAATATGTAGATATATATATAGATATATAGATACACAGAATATGTAGATATATAGAATATGTAGATATATAGATAGATACACAGAATATGTAGATATATATATACACAGAATATGTAGATATATATAGATACACAGATATATATGTAGATATATAGATACATACACAGAATATGTAGATATATAGATAGATACACAGAATATGTAGATATATAGATAGATACACAGAATATGTAGATATATAGATACACAGAATATGTAGATATATAGATAGATACACAGAATATGTAGACATATAGATAGATACACAGAATATGTAGACATATAGATAGATACACAGAATATGTAGATATATAGATAGATACATAGAATATGTAGATATGTAGAATATGTTTGTACCTCGTCTCTGCGGGCCTGGTTGTATTGTTTCAGGTCAGCCATCAGGTTTTCGTGGAGGTTGACAGTTTTCACAAGTTTCTCCACTCCTGCTGTATCTTTTGTACAAGCTGGGCGCACAAGGAAATCCCTGACAAAGTCAAGTGGAGTGCGGTGTTAATTTGTGAAATTCACAATGAACATTACATATTCATCGTCATCTTATCACACAAATTCACATTAAGTATATTTAAAACATTCATGGTCAAAGAAAAGATCATTTGGGTCAATAAATAATGGATATAAAAAGAGGGCTGACTTGAAAAGGAACAGACAAAATCAAAGGTAGAAGGATATCAATACAGTGGAATCTGTCTAAAGCGGACACTTCTGGGAACAAATAATTTGGCCTGTGTGTAGAGAGTTCTGGATTGTTAAGAGTACATCATTATAATATTGTCTGAATTGGGACTTAATTATTTAACCAGATTGTGCAGATATCTGGATTGCACAGAGTCCAGTTTAGACAGAGTCCACTGTATATGGCTAGTTAAGCGAGATGTACAATAATTTGTATATAGAGACAGGGATACACCTACTTCATCAGTCCAGATCTGTGGAAAACATACAACTCCTGCGACAGAGTGCTCGGACAGCGTGGCGTCACCCTCTAGAAACATAATATCAGTATATGATAATACATGGAAAGAAAGGACATAGTAACAACATCACAGTAAACAGTACTATATATGACTTCAATAAATGTTTTGACATAACAATACATTTATCAGGAGACTGTTTATTATCCTTCCACACCAGAACATGTAATCAAAGAGGATTTCTGAGTTTTCCATCAAATTTATTTATCATCACATCTTTCACTTGTACCATATTCTTCTGTAGTGGTTTTTTTTTCTTATCTTTCGACAATTAAATTAAATAAATGAAATTTTGTCTTACTCATTTAATGTTTGTCTAATCGTGCATTGAAATATCATTAAAATAAAGCAGATTATAAATTTTTAATTTCCCATTCGTAAAATAATCATGAAAAAATAAAATCCAAGATGGCTGACAGGACTTTCAACTTACCACAAATCCTTGAAGAAGAGGAAACTCCGGAACAAGGTGGGGAACAGTAATCACGCAAAAGTCAAAATTGGGAAACAGGGAGAATGCCTTAGTCAGGAAATCTGAAGATCTGTACAAAAAATGTTAAATCATAATCTTCAAAAAAAAACTTCACCAAAACAAAGCAAAAAGGTGCAATTAACATTAAAATTTGGTACGTTTGGAGGTTACGTTTGATACATAAAAACATCTAAATTAATCTGATATTTCTCAAACACGAACAAATAAATCATCATCATTCAGATATATTTAATATCATCTAAATTTCAATTTACCTCATCTCGTATCTTTCATCGATGCAAAAAAGCTGTATACTGAAAGCATTGATTTCTCCGTTGTATACAGGCACAAAACGTTTCGGCAGAGTTGTCATCGGAGTAATTGGCTTGATTGGGGTCGCAAGTCTCGAAGATATCTAAATGTATACAATATTACACTTTTAACTTTAATTTCCAAGAAAAAAACCAAAAGCTAGTGTTAATTCATACACCAAATATACAATGATTTGCATTATTGAAACTTACATTCATACTCCATTTACTTAAAAAGAAAAGTTATGAAGAAGATAGAGAAATACAGTAGCATGTCCAACAGACATATATCCTACCAAGGATTGATCAAAATAGCACCTATCTGCAACTTCAGATTGCAAGAACATGAAATTGTCACTAAACGTTGATTTTTAGTAAATATGAATGACCTCTTCTCTAACAGAGCTTTTTCGACTTGACACTTGAGAGGTACGATCTTCAATCTCCTTAGCGGCCTCCCCAATTGCTGCAGCGTGATCGCTGAGTAAAGATGTTGCACTCTCACGCATGTGATCATCACTGAGTTTGGACTGGATTTTAATTCCGTCTTCTGCACTAGTACTTCCAGCTGTATTCAAAATAACAAAAATTCACTTTTGTGCCACTATTATTTCATAATTTAACTTTCAAAAATAGACCAAAATGTTTTTCATATTCATGTTTCAAAAAGAAAATCCCCATTTATGATGGAGGTCACATGACTTTACCTCGGGAGCTCCTCCCACTTGAGTGCTGACTGCTAGTTTTCTTCTCCTCTACTTTCTCTGAAGCAGTTGCCTCGTTGCTCTCGTTCTTTGTTCCCTCGGTCACAGAATTTGGTTCTCCCTCTGGCTTTCCTGATCCTCCAGATTTCTGAGATCCTCTAGAAGCGGGTCGTTCTTCTTCTATAACCATATCAATTTACTTTGCATTGAACTTCCAAATGAATTACATCAGTATATACTTCAGCTATTTGTGTAAATTTCATGGGAAATCAAAGCAAATTCTACATCAAAACAACTGAAATTCTTGTATAGATATCTTAATTTTCAACACCTTAAAAAAATCTTTTTTTTTCTAAAAAGAGAAGTTTCTTTTTTAACTAATGTATTGTTACATTAAAAACACACAGCAGGTTAAACATTGAACAATAAAATAACTGTTTTTGTACAGATATTATAAATGAGTCAATAGTGAACAGTCTACAATACAAGGATTGGTTGATTTAAAGTTAAAAAAAGAAAAGCAAATGGCACGAAAAATTCCACATACATCACAACAAGTATAAACTGATGTTACAGATTTTCCTAGCCAAGCAAAACTATCATTTTCTTAGGGTAGGTTCATCATTTTCATTTGTAATTACACATGAAATTTATAACTGGCAAAATGTTTTCAATCTTAAAAATAACTTAGTTGCCAGTAGTTTCTGCAGGTATATTTACCTGGGGGCGGTGAAGGGGATGGAGTTTTCGGTGGGACCAAGTTATCTTCTGGATGTGGTTTCCGAAGTCCGTGGAATGGTCCAAGCTCAAAGCATTCATTCAATAGGTTAGCATTCACATCATCACTGATACTCATAAACCCAATTGCTGTTCCTTCCACCTTCAACCATTAAAAATACACATTAAGTCTACTTAACCTAAATTCAATTAAAACATGACATGTTTATGTGCCTACTTAATAACTACTGTACATCATTACCAGTATAATTTTCATTTGCCTGCAGCAGTAATACAGACGTGAGATCTTCAACTGATGTCATTTCTGCCAAAGTTTATATTGGTGTTTGCTGCATAACACAAATTCATAAATTTCCTTTGTTTGTTTTGATTTTGTGGGGGTTGGGGGTGGGGGGCAGGAAACGTTTCTAAGATTTTTGTACAACATAACATGGAAAGAAAGATCTATAATGCTGAAAGACTTAGAAATTGTTAATGAATTTACCGTTTGAAAAAGGACTAAAAACCAATAAATAAGACTCAACAATCTTATCATTGTCTTCTAAAGAGCTTACCTCAGCTACTAAGCACTGCATGTGCTCATCCTGAGCCTCCACAAGCTCTGCCAAGAAATAGTCCCCATATGTCATGTTCAACATGTCACTTTGACGAGTGAAGATTGGGGTAAGGTCATCATGATCCTCCACACTGAAGTTATCAAAGGAAACTCCTCAAACAGAACTCAAATACCGAAAAATTCTCACCAAATAATCTTCATACTTCAGAGTGAGAATAGATGATACACACATATAAGTATATTGACGGTTAAATTTATGAGAAGACGTTATTAAAGCTATGAAATGTTTAAATTCATTAAAAATTATACTGCCTGCTTTAGAGTGTACAGAACAGATATTTTTTAATCCAAAATTTTCAATTATCTTTTTTTCTCTATTTCTTCAAATACTTGAAGAAAAAATACGTACGTGGCCTTCCTGACATGCAGGACTGGGACATGGTCATGTCTGTGACAAACAAACAAGGCACCACTTATTCCATCATTTACTCCCTCCACTTTATCAAGCTGTTTGAAAACCTCGTCCAAAGCCGTCTCTACAAAAAACATTAACATCATTTATGAACCACATGACCATTTACTTGGAAGATAATAACATTCTGTATAGTATTTACACAAAGACCAATCCTTAAGTTATTGAAATTGCGAATATTTTGCTTTTACTTAGCTTTCATTTAGATATTATTTTGAAATGCGATACTGTATCCTGTTGTAAACATTAGAAAACCACTGTTATCCATCTTGCAGAAATTTGATTTCATACAAAAAATATATCACTTTTACATATTCAGTAAATACAACATAATGACAGACAATGCTCAAACTGTTATTGCTTTTTTAGTAAGAGATCCTCAAAATTTCAATAAGTTTTTTTTATTATGTGGAGTTTGTATAATTTTCCGAATTTACACAAAATCAAATATTAACACTCTGTGATATTTTTCTAAATTTCTAAAAATGGGCCCCTTTCCTTTTATTTTTTGTAAGTATACAAACCTGGGTAAGCCTTCATTGGCACAAACAAGTAGAGGAAATGAAGGTCAGGTACGGCATTAAATGCTGTCCTGATGATTTCCCTACAGCATCCATGAGCATAATCTGATTTTGCGACAAAGTAGTGCATAAATAGAGTGTTCAAGGCAGTACTCTTTTCCATGCTGTAACTTGTCTTTATCCAGGACTCCCAATTAGCTTGGTCAACCTCCGGAATGTTGGGGTAATCGAAGAAAGCAGCATGGCCTAGAATATCTTCTTTATCATTACATAGGGTGACGGCCAAAACTGCTTTCTCACTGAAATACATACAGTAATATTTCATAGTTTCTTCTGGACAAAAAAAAGCTTCCTTCCAACAAATTTGAATGATTTAAGATATAATTTTCAAACTTTATAGTAGTTTCACTATATGTGAATATAGTGTACATGTACTGAAGGTTGAAAATAAAAAGTGGACTGAAGTTGGATGTTTCTGTGTGAGAGTGAAAAAAAACCCTTGCCAAACGTTTCCCTGTATGCAGAGTACAAAAAACGTAACTTCAGGCATAATTATACAAAAATCAGTATATTATGTCCATGAAATAGCATCTGCAACATCATAGTGATTTCAATTTAAAAATTTTTTAGGATTATCAAATTCAGCATTAAATCTAAATGTCATCTTAATTGAATCTTAAACAAAAGTTTACTTAAGTTTTGTTATAATGATTTGAAACTTACATCAAGTTCACAACATTGACTCTACCGAAAAGTGCATCTGTGTTTCCCTGGACAAGTTTGAGGATATGTGGTGCATCAAGGGATTCTGTACGGCGAGCATTCACCACCTCTGGAGGTCCATCCACAGGGGCAATCGTTGTAGCCATCCTTAGATTTTTCTGTACAGAATCAAAATGTTAAAAACATTAAATTGGTTTAATTTTCTTAAAATAAGCCAGCTCATTTACACAACACATAGCAGAGAATCAAGGGAAGTTTCTTTCAGAGGCAGATCTTTACATATTCAAAACTAGGTCTCCACTATAATGCAAGTCACTTCCAACTTCATGATAGAAGTTTACTTCAACCTTGTCAACAGAATCCTTTTATAGTAGTCCCTACTTTTCTTAAAACTTTACATGTCTTCATTTATAAGTATCAAAGAACATGGAAAATTCATGCTATGTGCGAAGGCAAGAAAAAATATAGAACTACAAGATATGATATCTAACATCTTGACCAGCTAAGCCAAAGACTAAGAAACATACTATTACAAGATCATATTTAGCACCTTCAGTATGTTAAATATATGTAAGCTAAACTACTGTCTACTCTTTGACAAAATAATTGGAAGTATCTCAATAATTTTCTCATTTGCAATCTTTGCATCTACATACAAATGCATAAATACTTTGCATACTCTCTGTATTGAACAAATAACATTCATTTAATTTTCTTTTTACATATATTTACCCAATATTTTGTATATACAAATGCTAGTCATGCACAAGCATATTTTATGTTGGAAGAAAAAAAACTTTTAAGCATTAAGTTAATTGAGGATAGGTATTGTTCAACATCAGCTGTTATGGATGCAACCAACATCTGAGCTGAGACTGAATGGACTACAACGAAGTGTCTTTCAGTTTCATTGAAATGAAATTTTATTAAAACCACCAATGAGAAAATATGAAAACCCTTAATCAAACCAAACAACCTGTCTCCTAAATTAAATAATAAAAGCCAATCTAATGCTAAAATATAGAAAAAAAAAGGTAAAAATATTCGTAAACGAGTCAAACTGTACATAATCCTGAAAATTGTGTCGATATAAATGATATGTGCATTATCATGATATACATGTACAAGAGGAAAATAGGAAAGAAAAGAATACAAAAAAGTTTAACAGGTGCTCGTTTGTTACATTCTCATGCATTGCATACTTATCGAACTAAATATAACACGGTATTTGACAGGATTTTCAAAATACCTGCTGATTTTGTTCATTTTTATGCAATACATATTCCGAAAGTTGACATGATTTCGTCAAAATTATGGTCTGTTGTTTACTAATTACACATTTTCAAAATGCCACAAACACACTTCACAATTCGTTTAAGCAAGTTTCAGGGGAAATAGCACTAGCAGTAGCTTCAGGTGGTATTAACAACATTGATACATGGTGCTAACGTTAAATTAAACAGACTGAAAGAACTTACATTTCCTCACTCGGCGATCAACTACAACTTTGCCGCCATTAGTGAGTCTAGTTGCATAGCAACAATTCAACTTCCGTTTGTTTCAAAATAAAATGAGAGCTTTGAAAGTATAATTGATCAATTATTTTATAATACAATAATATGGTATACTTAGGTAAGTAGAAAATGTATTTATAAAATATAGAATGAAAGAACGAAAATAAATATTTCCATAACTCCGTATCAACTTCCGTACTAACAGTTCCGGTTTATTGAAAAAAAGTGGGTGATCTACTTTGTTGTTAAAACAAGTGACCTTTCACAGACCAACAATGGAGGTTGATGACGACGGTAAAAGGAAAATGCCAAAAGTGGCAAAGGTATGATTTTGTGAACACGAGATTTTAAAATCAGTAGTCACGCGAATGATAAAAACACAAGTCAAGCGACAGGCTATAACCACGAGCATCAGAACACACAAAAAAGGAGCCGTGTTGATACGGATGTCTGAAAATAAGTGATGTTTAGATAAAGCAGGACTAAAAGGCGATGCTTGATACAGACTATTTAAATGTCTTCTTGTATATATTTTACCCCTCTTTCCTCCACTGTAGATTAGATCGTGGTAATGTTTGTAATGGTGGAAGTTAGTTGACCAATGATAAAATGTTAACAACAACATATCAGCGCTGAGAGAAATGAAATATTCAAGATTTAAACGACAATTAGTGGATAGAAGAGCGAATGTTTATATTTGTGTGTATGTTATGCTCAAGAAGCGAAAAAAGAAGACGTTTCTTTGACGTTTTTACTGCAGGAGTTATCTCCCTTCGTCCATACGTTGCGTTAATATCATTTTTCGGTTTATATCATGTTGTAAAATTGTATTTCTAAAATAGAGAGTGGAAATCTACAACATTACTGTCTTCTTTTCTTTTTGACTTTGTAATTATATTTTCATTATCATTATGTTAATTAACATAAATTTGTATATTTCTCAAACATATTTATTAATTTCCAGGCATGAAAAAAGTTACTAAACTTGTCTTTGAATTCAATTATTAGGTTAAGAATAAAATGCCAGCACCAGTACAGATAACAGCTGAACAACTGCTGAGAGAGGCAAAGGAAAGAGAGCTGGAGCTTGTGCCACCGGTAAGAAGTAACAGTCATAAATATATATATCACCCTGGCTGATCTCATCGAAGATTCTTTCATGCTCCTCTGATTGTTTGGAAGACAATAAAGAATGAATACTTCATATTTTGAAAACATTTATATACATGAATTTTGAAATAATAAAAAAGGATAATTTGTATGTTTGATATATTGTTAAAAAGATATGGAAATGATTTCACAGAGTCAAAGTTTACAGAGTTCAATCAACCTTACAGAAATCAACCTTACAGAGATCATTAAGAAATATGCATGTAATGTGCATTTATGATTTGAATGTTCCCACAGCCTCCAAAGCAGAAGATTTCTGATCCAGAGGAATTAAAGGCATATAAAATGAGGAAAAGAAAGGTAAATCACAAACTTTTTTTCTAAATAAACAAATGAATAAGTACTGATCGACATCAAATGATGAAAAATGATGTTTTATTGATGCAAATGTTAACAAGTCTGAAGCTAAGATAAAGATTGATAGCCATTTATATTAATGCAAAAAATCAACAAAGCACCTTGTATTATTAAGTCAATTCCTAATTGATAGGTATTTTCACTATTTATTTACATGGCTGTATACAATATTTCTGAAAATATTTTCACAATTTAGATGTTTGAAGATAACATCAGGAAGAACCGTACAGTGATGGTAAACTGGATTAAATATGCCCAGTGGGAGGAGGCACAGAAGGAAATACAGAGGTAACTATAGAAAAATATGAAAAACCAAAAATATCTTGCAAAGATCTATAAGGATGTATTACTAAAAGGAAAAATATTTGATAAATGTAAATTATCTTAAAGGTTATAATTAAAATAAATTAATATTATCTTTTTAAAAAACACCAGAGAACAGAACAGTTTTGGATAAGGAATTTTGTTGCATGCATTTATGTTATACACACTAGAATAAGACTGTGCTGTATTACTTTTCAAAATTCTCTCGAATGTTGATATATGGTTGACTGTTGGTTAATGTTGAATTGTTCTATAACTGATATTTTTGTCTTACTATTGATTCTCATCCTGTACCTGTAGTACACATGCGATGTCACATGTTTGATGCACGACAAACTTTGTAATTTCTTTCCTATTTTTTTCAGGGCTCGTTCTGTATGGGAAAGAGCATTAGACGTGGACCACAGAACTGTTACTGTGTGGCTGAAATATGCTGAGATGGAAATGAGGTCAGAAATAACAAAACAATAAAGAGCTTGACATTTTTGTGTCGCAGAGCTGGCGGACACTTAGGGATCCCTTTGTCTGTCGTCACACGTCGGCGTTGTCCGTGCGAAAGTTTTCCAGAGTTTTTTCACTTATGCTTTGAGTTATCAAAATGAAATTTAGTATATGACTTCTTGTTGGAAGGGTACAGATTAAGTTTGATTCCTGGCTGTCTGTAAGCCTTCTTGGCAGAGTTATGCCCCTTTGAACTTCGAAAAATGACTTTCTTTGGTTATGCTTTGAGTTATACAAATGAAATTTAGTATATGGCTTCTTGTTGGAAGGGTACAGATTAAGTTTGATCTGTCTAAGGGAGATATGCCCCTTTGAACTTCGAAAAATCTCTGGGAATATTGTTTTCTGGACTTTCTTTGGTTATGCTTTGAGTTATACAAATGAAATTTAGTATATGGCTTCTTGTTGGAAGGGTACAGATTAGTTTTGCACTTTTCTTGATTATGCTTAGAGTTTTTTAAATGAAATATGAGAAATGGCTTCATGGTCGAACATTACAGATAAGGTTCGATTCACAGCTTTCTTTGGCAGTGATTTGTCCCTTTGAAGTTCAAAAATTTCTCAGGAATATTGCTTTGCGCAGTTTTCCCTATATGCTTCGAGTGATAGAAATGAAATTTGTTATTACGACTTTATGGTTGAACGTTGCACATCCAGTTCAATTTCTAGGTGACCGTGACACCTTATGCAGGCGACACATACAGTTCCGAGGAACTCTTGTTAGATATATACATATAAAGTGAACAAATAAGAATAGGACAAATTGAAAATTTTACATTAGAATTAGATATTGTATATCTTAATTCTTAAATGTATGTCGGTATCTGTAGGAATAATGCTATAATACTTTGATTTTTATTTAAGGAATACGATAAAATTTGAGAAATTTTGTCTTCATACAAATATTATGTACAAAGCTTTAGAGGAATACTTATGATAATTAAGATCAAGTGAAATCAATAGAATCATTCATGTCTTTACTGCTGCTCAAACAGCTAACTGGTTGACTTTAATGCAGCAGTTGTGGGAGGTGGGTAGAGAGGGTTGCAATTGTCACAGGTTAACATTTGTTGGTATTTATGATTAAATGAATATGAACTGGAAAAGATGAGTGAACTTTGTACCAGACATTGCCTTTCACTGGAAAAATACATGAAAACTATTTTGCAGGGCAAGGCAAGTGAATCATGCTCGGAATATCTGGGATCGTGCCATCACTATTCTGCCTCGTATGAATCAGTTCTGGTATAAATACACTTACATGGAGGAGATGCTGGGAAATATAGCTGGTAACAACACAATTTTACATTTGAACAATGTTCTCTGAGGACAACAGTTCTACCATCTTTCCAAACAAAAGAACTTTTTTCTTTAAAGTTTTAATGTCTTATCAATTTTTTACTATTGCTAATAGCAAAATTTCATCCTTTTGAAATGTTTCGTTATAACAGAATATTAGAAAGTCCATAAAGGATTTGAAGTATCAAGGTTGGGAAACTATGAACAACTTTCATTCCTTTCTGTATCATCTGCAGTTTCACTCTTCTTTTCTCCTCTTTATTGGGTATTCTACCAATATCTTCACTTCACCACTTCATCAGTAATGCTGTCTTATTGGCTAATAAAGTGACTTAGCTAATAAGCTTATATTTAAATGGAAATAAAATTGTAAAAAAAGTTAGCTTTTTATTGTTCCCCTGATTTGAAAACCTCAGGTATACTTTCATTTGTTTATTGATATGAACAATCATCAGTTTCACTTTCTGAAAAAAATGTTCAGACCAAAGAACTGTTTTTTATTGGTCAATAGTGTTATCAAAAACTAACTTACAAATGTCACCTTTCTAAGCAAGTACCATTTAAATTAAAAAATAATTTGAAATCCATGGAACTATGTGCCCAATATTGGGTTATTGATGTTTATTACCAGTTGCCTTTCAACCAAGAAACCAATTGGCTGACTTATAACTGACATCTATACTTTTCACCAATATAACAGCTCTATCTGCTACATTCAGGTTGTCGTCAGGTGTTTGAGCGCTGGATGGAATGGGAGCCAGAGGAACAAGCCTGGCATTCCTACATCAACTTTGAGCTGCGATACAAGGAGCTCGACAGAGCACGGATGATCTATGAGCGATATATCCTTTACAAACAATGACACTACTACTAAGGGGTTATCTTGCAAAATTTGTGACAAATTTTCAAGCAAAATGTTAGATTAAACTCTGATCATATGATCAGTGTGTGAAAAGAAACAGATGTCTTCATTTGATTTGAATAAAATTTAGTTGTACCTTTTTCGTTTTATACACTAAACAATAAAACAATTTTTAAAATTTTCTTGACTGAGAATACTTGTCATAGTTCATCCTGAAGTGAAGAACTGGATTAAGTACGCCAGGTTTGAAGAGAAACACCAGTATGTCAACAGTGCACGACGGATCTATGAGAGAGGTGTGGAATATTTTGGAGAGGATAATATGGAGGAAAAACTTCTGATTGCTTTTGCAAAATTTGAGGAAGGACAAAAGGAGGTAAAGAGTGACTTGATAAGATTTTTGTATCACTGTTATTTTCAGACTCTTTATTGGGTCAGTCTCAATTTCAAAGTTGACCTCATGACTCATGTGATGAAGGAATACAAGGTCCTGTTATTTTAAAAATTTATCTAAAGTATATTTACAGCGATGTATAATCATCTCGAAAGGAAATTCCAACTGCATTAGATGTGTATTCCTGTGTGTCATGTTTAAACCTGTGTGCCATGTGTATTCCTGTGTGTCATCTTTAAACCTGTGTGCCATGTGTATTCCTGTGTGTCATCTTTAAACCTGTGTGCCATGTGTATTCCTGTGTGTCATCTTTAAACCTGTGTGCCATGTTAGGAATGCTCACTTTGGAGTGCTAGAAATAAAGTTGCTATCATATGTGGTAGGGTTTTTTTAAAAGAAGAACAAAACCGGTATTTTCTTCCCCATCTATATTTATTGTTCTCCCAGGAGCGTCGCCATGTAGATATATACATGTTTTACCGGGAATGAAACCCCTGTAAGTACAGATACCAGTATATCTTAACAACAGCATACATTGAACAGTTGTCTGTAAATTTGTAAAACATCTACGCGTTTAATTGGATTTATAATTAATCCGCGTTCTGGAACTATAAAGCTACAGTCATATTTACCTCTGACTGTCATGGTGACACATAGTCTGGATAAAGTCCCAACGTATGTATGTCGACGTAGAGTCCTGTAAGTCCCAAACTATCGTTAACACCTGGCTGGTGCGCCGCTCCCCTCCAAGCACTCCACTTTGTACTCACACAAACGCGCCCCCTTTCACGTACAAACTCACCTGCATGCAGCACACACTCTTACCCACCTGGACAAGACTGGACAAACAGGTTTCAGATAAATATAGACACGACATGTACATTACACCACAACCGGACTCAGATGGACACTATAAATAGACACACAGGTAAACAGTGATCACTCCCTGTACCCTGTGACACACATAAACAGACATGACTGAATACAAGACAATAATCAACAATTGATTGACCCTATGACACATATATCACCCCAATTTAATACAAATATTTAAATGCATCAGAGGACTTTGTATTATAGAGTTCCAAAGTCAAGATCACTGTTACTATTTATAGAAATTTGTCAAATAATGATACATCAGGTACACATTCATGGACATGTGAACATTATATCTTACAGACATTTTCAAATTTTTGGAAAGTTTTCTTACTGAAACTGATCTCAAATGCTGTTGATTTTGTGAATTAGGTGATACGAAACAATTAACAGATTTTGTCATGGGATGTTTTTTTAACTATTATTGCTACACAAACCAGATGCTATAGAACAGTCTTTAACTAGATTTAATCTGTGATTTTTAGTCTAATGTTAATTGTTTTTTTCAGCATGAGCGAGCGAGAGTGATATACAAATATGCCCTTGATCACCTTCCTAAGGAATTATGTACAGAGATCTATAAAAACTACACCATACATGAGAAACGTTTTGGAAGTCGGGCAGCTATTGAGGATGTTATTGTCAGTAAAAGGAGATTCAGATATGAAGAGGTAAACAAATCTCTTTTAAAGTCCTTCATTACCATGGTAACATTTTCCTTGTATTCAATATTTATAGATATTTCCAAAAAGAATCTACCCATGTATCATAAAAAGTGAAACTGCTGGTAGTCTCAAATTCCAGGTTCCTGTTTAACTGACTCAAACTAGAATTTTTTCTCCCAAACAAGAATGAAAAATACACATTTTGCCATTCTAAGTATTGTTGCTGCATTGTTACCTGACAGGAAGTAAAAGAAAACCCTCTAAACTACGATGCTTGGTTTGACTACCTCCGGTTGATGGAGGCCGATGGCAACACAGAACAGACCAGGGACACATTTGAGAGAGCCATTGCCAACATCCCTCCTTCACAGGTCAGCAAACAAATACACCCTTAATACACTGTTAATGCACCATTAAATATGCCATTAAAACTCTCTGATCCAAATGACTTTTTAAATGTGTAATACATGTGTTGTTGATTTTTTGAAAATGAAAATTTGAAACATGCAACCCAGCAAGGCAATTATTAATTTACTGCAAAACTGGTATCTTTTAATTTCAAGTGGAATGTAATCAGATCTGCTTCTTAAAAGATCTGAGAAATAGAGATAAGCTTATTGGCTCTTAGACTACATATTATGAAACTATTACTTATATATCATAAAGTAAAATATTGGAAAAAGTGCTTTGAAGGAATCAGTGTAAATGATCATTAATAATTGAAGTCAAGATGTAAGCAATTTTCTTTATTCAGACTTACACAAACACCAGTAAACATATCAGGCAATACTGTCAAAAAAGTGTTGTTATAAATCTTTCTTCAAGTTTTCTTGTTCTTCCTATGAAAATCTTGAACATGCATTCTTAAAAACTGAAACTGAAATATTTTAGGAGAAGCGACACTGGCGTCGTTACATCTACCTATGGGTGAACTATGCCCTATTTGAAGAGCTGGAGGCGGAGGACTTTGACAGAACAAGAGAGGTCTACAAAGCCTGTCTTGACATCATACCTCATAAAAAATTCACATTTGCAAAAATGTGGCTTCTCTTTGCACAGTTTGAAATACGACAGAAAAATTTACAGGGAGCTAGGAGAGTATTAGTAAGTTACCATTTTATTGAAGGATTATTATATATATACTCTGGTAGAACAGTTAAACATATTGTAACAGAGTAAGGGGATGATATACAGATCTACACGCCATTGATAAATCATTAACTGAGATAAATCCACATTTCTTGTGAAGGAATGATAATTTCTCTTTATAAAGAGACATTTTTTCTAGTGGAGTTTACTTGTTAAAGTTTAAATCTGTGAGGTTTTAAGATGCAGCTTTATCAGAAATACATTTTTTTCTTGTGTTTTTAGGGAACAAGTATTGGAAAGTGTCCGAAGAACAAACTGTTTCGAGGATACATTGAACTAGAACTGCAGCTTAGAGAGTTTGAGAGATGTAGGATTCTGTATGAGAAGTTTGTGGAATTTGGACCAGAAAACTGTACAACATGGATGAAGGTATAAATCAGTATTATTGTAAATGTCACTTAATGACTTCATCTTATCTATTCCCCAAGTTCCTATATTCCAAATATATTACTGTACCATTCCCTACCTCCTTGCCTTTCCACTCCCTTATCCAAATAACTTTTATTTCCTATCCAAATTTCTTACTTTCTCACTCAATTCCATCCCCTCTCTCCATCCTGCAGACTCCCAACTCCCTGCCCACTTCTCTTTCCCATCTTCCTCCCTATTCCCTTACTCATCCACTTATTCCTCATTGAATGCTTACTATTAATGTGTTTGTGCCAGTCAAAGATCACAAAAATCTCATGTTTACATTTTATGAAAATGCTTCCTAGCTAGATTTTTAACATGATTAATGATCCTTTATTTCACATGTTGACTACATAATGAATTTGAGATGATACACAATTTCTATTTAAAAGTTATATTATTTTATTAGGTATGGCAACAATAATAAAAATTGTTTGTTTTAACAGTATGCTGAACTGGAGACGATTCTTGGAGACATTGACCGAGCACGGGCAGTATATGAATTGGCTATCAACCAGCCCAAGCTGGACATGCCTGAGGTCTTGTGGAAGGCCTACATAGACTTTGAGGTGGAACAAGAGGAGTTAGATAACACAAGATCACTGTATCGTCGCCTGCTGGAGCGCACACGTCATGTCAAGGTAAGATATCTACATACATAAACTGGAGCTGGGTGTTGCATCGTCGCCTGCTGGAGCGCACACGTCATGTCAAGGTAAGATATCTACATACATAAACTGGAGCTGGGTGTTGTGTCGTCGCCTGCTGGAGCGCACACGTCATGTCAAGGTAAGATATCTACATACATAAACTGGAGCTGGATGTTGTGTCGTCGTCTACTGGAGCGCACACGCCATGTCAAGGTAAGATATCTGCATACATAAACTGGAGCTGGGTGTTGTGTCGTCACCTACTGGAGAGGAAACGTCATGTCAAGGTAAGATATCTACATACATAAACTGGAGCTGGGTGTTGTGTCGTCGTCTACTGGAGCGCACACGTCATGTCAAGGTAAGATATCTACATACATAAACTGGAGCTGGGTGTTTTGTCGTCGTCTACTGGAGCGCACACGTCATGTCAAGGTAAGATATCTACATACATAAACTGGAGCTGGGTGTTGTATTGTCGTCTACTGGAGCGCACACGTCATGTCAAGGTAAGATATCTGCATACATAAACTGGAGCTGGGTGTTGTATTGTCATTTACTGGAGAGGATACGTCATGTCAAGGTAAGATATCTACATACATAAACTGGAGCTGGGTGTTGTGTCGTCGCCTGCTGGAGCGCACACGTCATGTCAAGGTAAGATATCTACATACATAAACTGGAGCTGGGTGTTGTGTCGTCGTCTACTGGAGCGCACACGTCATGTCAAGGTAAGATATCTACATACATAAACTGGAGCTGGGTGTTGTGTCGTCACCTACTGGAGAGGAAACGTCATGTCAAGGTAAGATATCTACATACATAAACTGGAGCTGGGTGTTGTGTCGTCGTCTACTGGAGAGGAAACGTCATGTCAAGGTAAGATATCTACGTACATAAACTGGAGCTGGGTGTTGTATTGTCATCTACTGGAGAGGAAACGTCATGTCAAGGTAAGATATCTACATACATAAACTGGAGCTGGGTGTTGTATTGTCGTCTACTGGAGCGCACACGTCATGTCAAGGTAAGATATTTACATACATAAACTGGAGCTGGGTGTTGTATTGTCGTCTACTGGAGAGGAAACGTCATGTCAAGGTAAGATATCTACATACATAAACAGGAGCTGGGTGTTGTGTCGTCGCCTGCTGGAGCGCACACGTCATGTCAAGGTAAGATATCTACATACATAAACAGGAGCTGGGTGTTGTATTGTCGTCTACTGGAGAGGACATGTCATGTCAAGGTAAGATATCTACATACATAAACTGGAGCTGGGTGTTGTGTCGTCGTCTACTGGAGCGCACATGTCAAGGTAAGATATCTACATACATAAACTGGAGCTGGGTGTTGTGTCGTCATCTACTAGAGCGCACACGTCATGTCAAGGTAAGATATCTACATACATAAACTGGAGCTGGGTGTTGTATTGTCGTCTACTGGAGTGCACACGTCATGTCAAGGTAAGATATCTACATACATAAACTGGAGCTGGGTGTTGTATTGTCGTCTACTGGAGTGCAGACGTCATGTCAAGGTAAGATATCTACATACATAAACTGGAGCTGGGTGTTGTGTCGTCCCCTGCTGGAGCGCACACGTCATGTCAAGGTAAGATATCTGCATACATAAACAGGAACTGGGTGTTGTATTGTCGTCTACTAGAGAAGAGGCACCATATTAAAGTAGAAGTTCTTCCAACAAAACCTTGACCACACTTTGACATTTTTAGCCCACCATCATCAGATGGTGGGGTATTCAAATCGCCCTGCGTCCATGGTCCGTCGTCCGTCCGTAAACAATTCTTGTTACTGCTATTTCTGGGAAAGTACTGGATAGATCTTTCTCAAATTTCATATGGAGGTCCCCCTTGGTCTCTAGTTGTGCATTGTACCTTTTTTGGACTGATTCAAATTCAAGATGGCTGACAGGCGGCCATCTTGGATTTTGAGAGTAAAATCTTGTTACCGCTGAGGAAGTACTGGATGGATACTTCTGATATTTCATAGGTATTGGTTTCCCTTGGTCCCTAGTTGTGCATTGTACTTTTTTTGGACTGATTTGAAATCAAAATCTTGTGCCATCATTGAGTACATTCAATGAAGACCAGTTCATGAACATTTACAAAACCTGTAACACAAAAAAAAAAAAAAAAACAAATCTTCAAGAACTGAAAACAGATCCTCAAATGGTGGGCGCCAAGATCGTTCTGGGATCTCTTGTCCATTTTCTGCTGGATACATGTATTTTCTGTATGAGAAAAAGTTCCATTATACATGAGCAGTCATTTGTCTGAATTCTGTTATCAGGTATGGATCAGCTTTGCCCAGTTTGAACGCACCAATGAAGTGAACCAACGTCTACAGAATGTGAGATCTGTGTACAAAGATGCAAACAATGCCTTCAGGACGTCCGGTGAGAAAGAAGAACGTCTGATGTTGCTCGAGTCCTGGACACAATTTGAAGTACGTTCATTTGTTGTACTAGTATTAGTTGTCCTGTTGTGGATTCTAATTTCTAAAATATGAAAGTGGTTGATATCAATGTTTTTTTAAAACTTACTCTTTCATGATACGAATTTGGTGATGTGTCCATGCTTAGTATTAAGTCCATCCATTTTTATAACCATGTAATAGACACTCAATTAGGGGAAACGTGTTCACACACCAAGTTTGTTGCAGAACAGACTCAAAGGAAAAACCACCAATTATCCTGCAATATGCAAAAGGAACCAACACATTATTTCTTATTCCATGTCCTTGCCACATTATTTCTTATCCCATGTCCTTGCCACATCAATTCTTATTCCATGTCGGGGCTACATTATTTCTTATTCCATGTCAGGGCCACATTATTTCTTATTCCATTGTCCTTGCCACATTATTTCTTATTCCATTGTCCTTGCCACATTATTTCTTATTCCATTGTCCTTGCCACATTATTTCTTATTCCTTGTTGGAGCCACATTATTTCTTATTCCTTGTTGGAGCCACATTATTTCTTATTCCATGTCGGGGCCACATTATTTCTTATTCCATTGTCCTTGCCACATTATTTCTTATTCCATTGTCCTTGCCACATTATTTCTTATTCCTTGTTGGAGCCACATTATTTCTTATTCCATGTCGGGGCCACATTATTTCTTATTCCATGTCGGGGCCACATTATTTCTTATTCCATGTCAGGGCCACATTATTTCTTATTCCATGTCGGGGCCACATTATTTCTTATTCCATGTCAGGGCCACATTATTTCTTATTCCATTGTCCTTGCCACATTATTTCTTATTCCATTGTCCTTGCCACATTATTTCTTATTCCTTGTTGGAGCCACATTATTTCTTATTCCATGTGAGGACCACATTATTTCTTATTCCATGTCAGGGCCACATTATTTCTTATTCCATGTCAGGGCCACATTATTTCTTATTCCATTGTCCTTGCCACATTATTTCTTATTCCATGTCAGGGCCACATTATTTCTTATTCCATGTCAGGGCCACATTATTTCTTATTCCATGTCAGGGCCACATTATTTCTTATTCCATGTCAGGGCCACATTATTTCTTATTCCTTGTTGGAGCCACATTATTTCTTATTCCATGTCCTTGCCACATTATTTCTTATTCCTTGTTGGAGCCACATTATTTCTTATTCCTTGTCGGGGCCACATTATTTCATATTCCATGTCGGGACCACATTATTTCTTATTCCATGTCGGGGCCACATTATTTCTTATTCCATGTCAGGGCCACATTATTTCTTATTCCATGTCGGGGCCACATTATTTCTTATTCCATGTCAGGGCCACATTATTTCTTATTCCATGTCAGGGCCACATTATTTCTTATTCCATGTCCTTGCCACATTATTTCTTATTCCATTGTCCTTGCCACATTATTTCTTATTCCATGTCAGGGCCACATTATTTCTTATTCCATGTCAGGGCCACATTATTTCTTATTCCATTGTCCTTGCCACATTATTTCTTATTCCATGGCGGGGCCAAATTATTTCTTATTCCATGTCGGGACCACATTATTTCTTATTCCATGTCAGGGCCACATTATTTCTTATTCCATGTCGGGACCACATTATTTCTTATTCCATATCAGGACCACATTATTTCTTATTCCATGTCAGGGCCACATCAATTCTTATTCCATGTCAGGGCCACATTATTTCTTATTCCATGTCAGGGCCACATTATTTCTTATTCCATGTCAGGGCCACATTATTTCTTATTCCATGTCAGGGCCACATTGTTTCTTATTCCATGTCAGGGCCACATTATTTTTTGGTCCATGTCAGGGCCCAGGGGATGGGCTTTGATTTTGCAGGAATAGGATAGAGAGCTTTAGTTTATCAGTGGGCTTATTACCAAACATCGGCTTATTGTTGGATAAATGCTGTATGATTTAACTGCTTTCAAGTAAATCAGAACACAGTAGATTAAATTTTAATTTTTATCCTGAGGAAACCCCATTTTCTAGAGAAAGCTAATGTTTATAACCTTTGTCAGAGTCAGGTACTGGGTTTCTGATTAGTGGGCTAGTTTTAACTGTCGATAAAACAATTCCTGATATATCAACAGGAGGAGGAAGGTGATGATGAATCTCGTGACAAGGTCAGCAAGTTGATGCCACAGAAAGTCAAGAAACGCAGGAAGATTCAGCTAGAAGATGGGGTGAGTGGTCACATGTTTGTAGCCGTTCTGTGGTTCAGTTACAGTATCCACAAATTCAAATCTCAAATTTCTGTCCTTGTTGTGATCCTCGTAATCAGAAATTTCTCATTTTTTTTAAAGAGCAATTCCCGTTATATGAAAGGAAAAAGTGACATATATAAGATCTTGGATAATTTTTCATTCATGAGATTGATAAATGAGTCCGAGAATTTTCCTCTTGTTCAATCAGATGAAAAGTTTGTCAAAAATTTCTTAATTTCCTCTCCTTTGAAAATTGAAAAACAAGAAAAAAACAAAAATAAGGAATAAGATAAGAAGAAAATTTGCAAATAATGCACAAAGCATAATGTCTTGTTTTGGCTCAGTATCTGTTGTCTCCAACAATTTATTTTGAATCTGTGTAAACATTGCTGTACACAATGGTTTAAAATGGTTGAGAAAAGATCATCAGAAACTTGACAGATATGATGACCTGGGCTTAATGCTTATTAGTTTGGTTTAAAAACTTGATAACTTGGAAAAATCTTGATTTAGTCTACCTCTGGATTTTTAGAATAAAAACCTGTTATCAATGCAAATTATTTTGTTTTTGTGACTTATTGACTAGATTTCTCTCAAAATCGATTCTGGAGCAACATCATTTCATATCCCATGTATCTTACTGGGACTAAACTTTTTGAATCTGACAATTCTGTGTGAAAATCTGATATCCTGTTACCTTCCTGTGACCATTTTGGGATCTTTCTATGACCTTTCAGTGATCTTGCTCTGACTTTTCTGTGACCTTTCTCTGACCTTCCTGTGATCTTGCTCTGACCTTTCTGTGACCTTTCTCTGACCTTCCTTTGATCTTTCTATGACCTTTCTGTGATCTTTCTCTGACCTTCATGTGATCTTGTTCTGACCTTTCTGTGGTCTTGCTCTGACCTTTCTGTGATCTTTCTTTGACCTTTCTGTGATCTTTGTTTGACCTTGCTGTAATCTTTCTATGACCTTTCTGTGATCTTTCTTTGACCTTCCTGTGGTCTTTCTATGATCTTTCTGTGATCTTTCTATGACCTTCCTGTGATCTTTCTATGACCTTCCTGTGACCTTTCTATGACCTTTCTGTGATCTTGCTCTGACCTTCCTGTGGTCTTTTTCTGACCTTTCTGTGATCTTGCTCTGACCTTCCTGTGGTCTTTTTCTGACCTTTCTGTGATCTTGCTCTGACCTTCCTGTGGTCTTTTTCTGACCTTTCTGTGATCTTTCTATGACCTTTCTGTGGTCTTTTTCTGACCTTTCTGTGATCTTGCTCTGACCTTTCTGTGATCTTGCTCTGACCTTCCTGTGGTCTTTTTCTGACCTTTCTGTGATCTTGCTCTGACCTTCCTGTGGTCTTTTTCTGTCCTTTCTGTGATCTTGCTCTGACCTTCCTGTGGTCTTTTTCTGTCCTTTCTGTGATCTTGCTCTGACCTTCCTGTGGTCTTTTTCTGACCTTTCTGTGATCTTTCTATGACCTTCCTGTGGTCTTTGTCTTTCCTTCTGTGATCTTGCTCTGACCTTCCTGTGGTCTTTTTCTGACCTTTCTGTGATCTTTCTATGACCTTTCTGTGGTCTTGCTCTGACCTTTCTGTGATCTTTCTATGACCTTTCTGTGATCTTTCTCTGACCTTCATGTGATCTTGTTCTGACCTTTCTGTGGTCTTGCTCTGACCTTTCTGTGATCTTTCTTTGACCTTTCTGTGATCTTTGTTTGACCTTGCTGTAATCTTTCTATGACCTTTCTGTGATCTTTCTTTGACCTTCCTGTGGTCTTTCTATGATCTTTCTGTGATCTTTCTATGACCTTCCTGTGATCTTTCTATGACCTTCCTGTGACCTTTCTATGACCTTTCTGTGATCTTGCTCTGACCTTCCTGTGGTCTTTTTCTGACCTTTCTGTGATCTTGCTCTGACCTTCCTGTGGTCTTTCTATGATCTTTCTGTGATCTTTCTATGACCTTCCTGTGATCTTTCTATGACCTTCCTGTGACCTTTCTATGACCTTTCTGTGATCTTGCTCTGACCTTTCTGTGGTCTTTTTCTGACCTTTCTGTGATCTTGCTCTGACCTTTCTGTGATCTTGCTCTGACCTTCCTGTGGTCTTTTTCTGACCTTTCTGTGATCTTGCTCTGACCTTCCTGTGGTCTTTTTCTTTCCTTTCTGTGATCTTGCTCTGACCTTCCTGTGGTCTTTTTCTGTCCTTTCTGTGATCTTGCTCTGACCTTCCTGTGGTCTTTTTCTGACCTTTCTGTGATCTTTCTATGACCTTTCTGTGATCTTGCTCTGACCTTCCTGTGGTCTTTTTCTGACCTTTCTGTGATCTTTCTATGACCTTTCTGTGGTCTTGCTCTGACCTTTCTGTGATCTTTCTATGACCTTTCTGTGGTCTTGCTCTGACCTTTCTGTGATCTTTCTATGACCTTTCTGTGGTCTTGCTCTGACCTTCCTGTGATCTTTCTATGACCTTCCTGTGATCTTTCTTTGACCTTCCTGTGATCTTTCTTTGACCTTCCTGTGATCTTTCTTTGACCTTCCTGTGATCTTTCTTTGACCTTCCTGTGATCTTTCTCTGACCTTCTTGTGATATTTCTCTGACCTTCTTATGATTTTCTGTGACCCACCAGTAAATTTCTGTGCCACCTTCTTTGTGTCAATCTTCTGTTGGTGTCAATCTTTTTCCTTCTTTTGTTTCCTATGTTATTCAATCATTGTTATTTTCAGTCTGATGGCGGATGGGAGGAATACTATGATTACATCTTTCCTGACGAGGAAGCAGCGCAACCAAATCTTAAATTGCTGGCCATGGCCAAGAAATGGAAACAACAACAGGAAACCACACAGGATGAAGTGGAAAGCTGAAAAACAAAATACTACACACAGATGTGATGGCTGTATCAGGATTTTTGTTCTGGAGAGTATCAGGACTCCATACATGTTTTGGGGAGTATCTGGAATTCATACATGTTTTGGAGAGTATCTGGACTTCATACATGTTTTTGATAGGATCAGGATTTCATATAAAGTTTGGAGAGTATCTAGAGTTCATACAGGTTTTGGAGAGTATCTGGACTTCATACAAGTGTGGAGAGTATCAGGATTTCATACAAGTTTTGGATATCATTTTAGGATATTTCCTATGATCAGATGTATCACATTGACACTTTATATGTCTATCTTACAGGTATATACAATAGTCACATTTTACATGTGTGCTGGTTGACATGTGTAAGTGAATAGATATATCACATGTCACAAAACCAGTGACTAGTTTACAAAGTTTATGAATATTCAGGCAGCTGAAGTCACATAATAATTCATACAGAAACTGCATAGCAAGACATTTCTTATTAGACAAAGAAATCTGTTACCTAGTGCTAGATTTGTCTCGTCCTGTTAATCTGCTACCTCAACATGACGTTTGACATTTTGTGATGTCATAAATTGGTAATATCTTATTACCTTTCTAACACATAGACAAGGGAGATAACTCTGTCAAGTTGAAGAATTTTGAAGCAAGACTAGTGAAATAGTTATATATATGATGTACAGTTAAATATATTACTAGATTATTATATTTCAGATGGATAATAGATCATAGAACAATACTTAATTCTCAACTCTTGAGACTGTAAGAGAAATAAGACCTTAAGATTGAAGTATCACATACTATTTACATCTTCTTTACAAAAAGATATGTAATGTGTGTCACAAGGATATCTGCTGTGTGAAACAGTGACTTCTACTCTGTCGCAATGATATCTGCGGTGTGAAACAGTGACTTCTACTCTGTCACAATGATATCTGCTGTGTGAATCAGTGACTTCTACTGTGTCACAAAGATATCTACTATGTGAAACAGTGACTTCTACTCTGTCACAATGATATCTGCTGTATGAAACAGTGATTTCTAATGTGTCACAAGGATATCTACTGTGTGACACAAGGATATCTACTGTATGCCAAAATGATATCTACTGTGTGCCACAGGGATATCTACTGTGTGACACAAGGATTTCTACTGTATGACAAGGATTTCTACTGTATGACAAGGATATATACTGTATGACAAAAGGGTAACTACTGTGTGACCCAAGGATATATACTTTGTGACAAATGACATCTGCTGTGTGACAATTGGATATCTACTGTGTGACACAAGGATATCTACTGTGTGACACAAGGATATCTACTGTGTGACACAAGGGTAACTACTGTGTGACACAGGGATATCTACTGTCTGACACAATGATATCTACAGTATGACACAAGGATATCTACTTTGTGACACAAGGATATCTGCTGTGTGACACAAAGATATCTGCTGTGTGACACAAGGATATCTGCTGTGTGACACAAGGATTTCTACTGTGTGACAGAATGATATCTACAGTGTGACAAAAGGATTTAGGTAGTATGACACAAGGATATCTTATATCTCCCTGGCAAACAGACATATGTTGTGTAACACAGGGATTTATATGATGTGGAATAAGGATATCCACCGTGATGCACAAGGACATCTGTCATGTGATACAAGGACATCTGCTGTGTGATACAAGGACATCTGCTGTGTGATACAAGGACATCTGTCGTGTGATACAAGGACATCTGCTGTGTGATACAAGGACATCTGCTGTGTGAAACAAGGACATCTGCAGTGTGATACAAGGACATCTGCAGTGTGATACACAGATATCAAGCATGCTACTAGGATAAATGTACTTCATGTTACATGTGACAATGACATCAAGTGTGTGACATACGGATATCATCTGCTTGACTAAAGATTACCTGCATGACATGAACATTTACTGTGTGACTTTTGAGATGTCTACTGTATGACTCTAGAGATGTCTACTATGTGTGACTAGAGATGTCTACTGTGTGACTCTAGTGATGTCTACCGTGTGACTCTAGATATCTACTGTGTGACTCAGGAGATGTCTAATGTGTGACTAAGAGATGTCTACTGTGTGTCTCTAGAGATGTCTTCTTGGTGACTCTAGAGATGTGTACTGGGTGACTCTAGATATGTCTACTGTGTGACTCTAGAGATGTCTTCTTGGTGACTCTAGAGATGTCTTCTTGGTGACTCTAGAGATGTGTACTGGGTGACTCTAGAGATGTCTTCTTGGTGACTCTAGAGATGTGTACTGGGTGACTCTAGAGATGTCTTCTTGGTGACTCTAGAGATGTCTTCTTGGTGACTCTAGAGATGTGTACTGGGTGACTCTAGAGATGTCTTCTTGGTGACTCTAGAGATGTCTTCTTGGTGACTCTAGAGATGTGTACTGGGTGACTCTAGAGATGTCTATTGTGTGACTAAGAGATGTCTAATGTGTGACAAACTGAAGTTCGAGTGTAAAAGTGTCAATAGTGAACATTTTCCTGTAAGTTGACTAAACTCTGTAGTTCTTAGTCTGGTTTTCATATAAAATTTAATGTGCAATGAATTTATATCCACATCAGAATAAAAAAAACTTACTGGAAAAAAAGTGAAGAATTCATTATAAATGCACCAGTATCGTTGAGTAGGGTTTTATCAGTTTTCAGTGTGTGAAGTAGCCAAGTAGTCATCAAAAGGCTGAACTTCTGCGTGAGAAGTAAATGTAAATATTGACGGGTGTTTTACGTCAAGTACTGGTCTGGAGTTGTCACTCTCATTCTATGTAGCTATGTGGCTTTAGTGTTACATAATTCACAGCACCCCAAACCCAGGTTTTTGTCTGTCTGCAAAGAAAATCAGATGTACCAGAATATACACACACCATAGTATTTCTTATCTTACAGAAACGTGTGTGATAATTTAATATGTATATCTACGGTAATTCCCAAACATTATGTTGTTATCAAATATGCTTTCATGCATAAAACATATTTTTTCGTCTTAAGATCTATACATAAGGAGTGATAATCTATTGCACATATTTCTGGTAATTTCCTCAAAGAGATTTGGAGATAATCTAATGTGCATATTTCCAAACGACTGCTCCAATGAAGGAAAATGCATCATTATAATCAACATACTCATCATCTCCTGCTGTCGAACACAGATATCGTGTGAATGTTTTGCGAGGGGTGTAAAAGTTAAGGGCGGATGAGAGGAGTTATTTTTTAAAGGTGCTTGTGTATGTAAAGCGCGGCTGTATAAATGAAAGCATGCATGGTATAATATGCGTTAAAAGTGTGAATTATGCATTGATGTAAACTAATTTGTGAGAGAACCGGAAAGGAAAAAAAAATAAAAATATATTTTGTGTAATTTTTTTGTCATTTTTTTATGTTTTTTTCTTTTTGCAGCTGATGAGCATTAACTTAATTGTGTAATTTGCACTGTCTGGTAATTATTGGAAGACCTCCCAAAATCAGACATCTTTTAAAGCAATATCTACTTCTACTACTCCACAACACAGGCGGGGCTATATTGTGCAAGTAGTGCATGTGTGAAAGATAAGTAGGACAAATGATTTCTTTATCCATTGTTTGGTTACCTGACCCAAAGGGTCATGATGAAAGGATCAGAGGCTACCAAGTTTGTTCAAATGTATGACCTTGTTCAAATAAATGACTTTGACCCCCTTTCAAGGTTACTCAGGTCATATGTGAAAAATTGTAAATGACTTCTTCTCAATTACCAAATGGCTCAGAAAGTCTTAATCATGCTGTTTGTTCAAATGAAGAACTTTGACCCAGTTTCAGGATCACAGAGATCAAATGTGTTTAAATCCTTATACAACTTCTGCTTAATAACCAAAATGCACAAGGTTCTGGTGTTGGTCTTGTAGTCTGATGGGATAAGGGGTTTTTAAGAGGCACAGAAGTGTTTGTACTTCGACCACGTTGGTCTAGAGATGTTCTGTTGTACTTGACCCACATTTGTCTATAGATGTTATGTAATACATGACCCATATTTGTCAAGGGATGTTCTGTTGTACTTGACCCACATTCAGTCTAGAGATGTTCTGTAGTACATGACTTACATTTGTCTACAGATGTTCTGTACTACATGCCCACCCATATTTGTCTGGAGATATTCTGTAGTATATGACCCACATTTGTCTAGAGATGTTCTGTAGTATATGACCCACATTTGTCTAGAGATGTTCTGTAGAACATGACCCACATTTGTCTAGATATGTTCTGTAGTACATGACCCACATTTGTCAAGAGATGTTCTGTAGTACATGACCCACATTTGTCTAGAGATGTTGTGTAGTACATGACCCACATTTGTCTAGATATGTTGTGTAGTACATGACCCACATTTGTCTAGAGATGTTGTGTAGTACATGACCCACATTTGTCTAGATATGTTCTATAGTACATGACCCACATTTGTCTAGAGATGTTGTGTACTACATGACCCACATTTGTCTAGAGATGTTCTGTAGTACATGACCTACACATGTCTAGAGATGTTCTGTAGTACATGACCCATATTGGTCTAGAGATGTTCTGTAGTACATGACCGACAATTGTCAAGAGATGTTCTGTAGTACATGACCCACATTTGTCAAGAGATGTTCTGTAGTACATGACCTACACATGTCTAGAGATGTTCTGTAGTACATGACCCATATTGGTCTAGAGATGTTCTGTAGTACATGACCCACATTTGTCAAGAGATGTTTTGTAGTACATGACCCACATTTGTCAAGAGATGTTCTGTAGTACATGACCCACATTTGTCAAGAGATGTTCTGTAGTACATGACCCACATTTGTCAAGAGAGGTTCTGTAGTACATGACCCACGTTTGTCTGGAGATGTTCTGTAGTACATGACCCACATTTGTCAAGAGATGTTCTGTAGTACATGACCCACATTTGTCAAGAGATGTTCTGTAGTACATGACCCACATTTGTCAAGAGATGTTCTGTAGTACATGACCCCCATTTGTCAAGAGATGTTCTGTAGTACATGACCCCCATTTGTCAAGAGATGTTCTGTAGTACATAACCCACATTTGTCAAGAGATGTTCTGCAGTACATGACCCACATTTGTCAAGAGAGGTTATGTAGTACATGACCCACGTTTGTCTAGAGATGTTCTGGAGTACATAACCCACGTTTGTCTAGAGATGTTCTGCTCACGTTTGTCTAGAGATGTTCTGTAGTATATGACCCACGTTTGTCTGTACCCTGATAATTTTATTTTGATTTTGACCATTTTTTCACTGAAAGATAAAAATATGGGTACTCCATGAAAAACATTGTTTTTCAGGTTGCAAGGATAAATATTAAGGTCACTTACATTTCAGCCATTCTGTTTCTGGCTGCCACGGGCCTGGTCATGGTATTAAAACATTTGATATTTGTCAATATTTCACCCGCACTCTAGCAACATGTGGAAAAAATAAGAAATAGAAAATAGATAGGAAAAATGGCTTCCTGATTGCCAAGGTCAAGGTTACAGTAAACCGTATATCATGAATTTGTTAATTTTATCCGTTTATTAATTGTTCGTACATTTTGACTGGACTGGAGCACCAAGAAAAATACAAGTTGTGGTTAGGTACTTTGGTGAAGGTCAAGGTCAGGATAACTTCTTTCGTACAGTTTTTTTCTTCCCTGCAGGTTGACAGCAATTTAGTAATTAAGCCATCATGCCATAACCGAATTAGATAATGTCAGGAAATAAATATATAGAAATTTCTGCAACTTGTTTCCGGGTCCTATGAAATTAGTTTGTTATGTGTTGTTATGAACTCGATATTAAACGAAACAAATTAATTGTTTTTGTAGGGAACTCTGACCAATGAATAAGCATGTTAAGGAATTTAATAAATTTATTTTTTATGTATTCTGACAAATATGTAAGTTTTATGTTACGCCGATAAAGTGCGGATGCTCTCTGA